TTTTCCTTCCTTTTCCTTAATTCATCATTTTTCAAGGAGTGGTGGAACAGTTAACTTCATTGCAGTTTTCGTCAGGGCAATCTCTTTTCTGAGAACTATTCTGGCCTCTTTAAGGAGTACAAATCTCTGTATTGCAAATAAAAAAGTCTCTCATGGACATTTTTCCCATTAAATAACAATATATGGTTTCCATTCTGATTTGTGAAAATTATATTTCTGACTATATCTTCAAAAAGACAAGGTCTTCAACTCATGTGTGCAAACCTACTGCATGTATTTTCGCACAGATATTTCACATTTTATTACATTTTAGAAACAAGTTTAGCAATTCAAATTTATTCATAAAAGGATTGCCCCTATTCTCTTCATATGGATCACAGCAGAAACTAATGGAATATTATCTAGAAATTAGTCTTCCATGGTAGCCATATAGCCTGGCAAGTTTATCCTACATGAGTATCAGCAGCTGTTGTATCACAATACCTAACAGTAACTCCCTTTTTCCTACTGCTACAGCAACAGGGATATAATGAAATCACATGGCATCCTGCTCTGAAATTCTGAATAGGAATTGCAGCAAGAATTTGCTGTCACTGGCAAGTAAACCTTATTACAAGCTGATTTTCTTGGCTGAGACTCCACCTAAACTGCAGCATGTCTCAGCTGTGAAAACAATACGCCTTTCCTTCCCTTGCACGCAATACCACATTCTTTTGTTTATGAAGGCACAAAACCTGTCTGAAAGCCAGCTTGAGGCATCCTATTTCCTAGTAGGGCCACAGAGCTCCACAGGAAGCTGCAATTCCTTCTTAAGTTGTGAATAAGCAGGTTTTTGCTCTAGGCTTCCTCACAAATGAAAGTTAGTAAAATGAAGGTTATGTTAATATGTTACATATTCACATGCCTTCAATTACAGTTTGAATTCACATGTACTGAACATCAACTGTTGTCCATTTGCATCAAGAAAGAACCCTACACATTCATCTTATGGAAACCATGCTTTGAGGTCTATGCTGTTGTGTATTTGTATGGAGGGTGTAACCAGACTGAGCAGTGGTGGAAGAGCAGCCACTAGCATCTAGTCTGTGACTGCACATACATTTATGGGTGATATTTATTGTCTGCTGGGTATGAAACCCTCTGAAGTGTATCAAAACTGCTAGAAGTCTGAACAACAGAAACAACTGCTTACAAGGGAGCCATTAACACTTCCAACTGTTGAGTCATAACAATTTCTCCTACCTCTTTCCACTCACAGACTGTTTCAAGGAAAAGGGAACATCTAACTGAGACAGCTGCAGAGGAAACAGAAGAGTCTCCTGAACTGCTGCCATGCTGCAGAAATTGAAAATGGGGTCTTCTCTGGATTCCCCTCTACCTGAATGTGTGGGAATTGCCTTTTTATGCTGTCAACTCTCAAGAATGTGGGTGAGAAGCATAGGAACCCAAGACAGGCAGAGGGAATCTAAGCAAAATATTTTTCAACTGTGAAATGTAAAGCTCTCTCCCTGGAACATTAACTCATCCTCAGCGAGCACACACTGAAGGAAAATGAGCTTTTCAACTGAATCACAATTTCAATTTTAATGTTTTATACATACAGCCCGAAATCAAACCTTAATCAGAACTTAACTGATGGCAAAATCTAGCCTTCACTGAGTTCCATAAGAAGTTTTATGAAGTTTCAAGTTTTACATTAAAAAATGATGTTATACAAATACCTCACAGGAAGAGAATGAAATCTAGTTTTCTGGACTCATTTCTCTCGTATTCTGTAATAATAAAGCACTCAATGAAAGCAGAGGACATTATCTAAGAGTCTGATCGTGCAGAGCAGGAAAGACAGTTTGAAGTAATGCATACATGAAGTCCCACTGCTGTTCTGGATCCCCAGACTTACGTGACTTAAAAGATTGAAATTGATTATTCAAAGGAGACCAAGTTATGTATTAAGCATTGTCAGAAAACTTCTGTTCACAGAAATTTAATTAGATGTTAACACATGTTCAAAAAACACATTCAACTTGTTTCTAATTGAAACCTGAGCTCTTGCAACTAACTTTTACCTATTTAATTAATAGCTACCAATCAGATATGCATGCACTTGTGCCCCTATTATATTCACAGAGAAGTACTTAGTTTAGTTCAAAGATGTTACAACAGGTTTGTGGTAGAGATTTCTATTATCCAACTCCAAGGACTTGCACAGCCCTTAAGAACAGAAATACTGAAAGATGAAAAGCAAAATGTTTTACCACTATGCTGTTTAGTGGAAACAACTTCCAGATTGGTGAACCTGTTGGTTGAGACATAAAAGAGGCAAAACCAAAGCATCACCTAGTCCAAAATAAAAATAAAAACTCATAAACAAGTGCAGGAGTCTGGTTGACAAGAGAAGTGTATACGTGACCCTTACTGAGAGGGAGCCCACATCTCTCTTTTGATGTGCTCTGCCCTCAGTAGCAGTGCAGCTTACTGATATGAAAGGGGACAAGACACCCACAAAAGCTTATAGTTGTCCTATGAAATCTACAATCATTCTCCCTCTAAATGCTATATTTGATTATCAGGCTCTAGTGAACAACATTATGGAAAAACTGTTCAGCTTCCTAACATAAAAGAACCATTCTTCCTGGAGTGCCAGAGGAGAAAATGTAACTGCTGTGTCATTCTGTTTGACCTCCTAGAATGACTGAGCTCAGCAACTGAATACGAATGGGAAGAAGGGTGAAGGATTTCTGCCTTACACTCCTGCCAGGTGCACCTGGAGATGGAAGACAGACCTCTATAAATATAAAAAGAGGTCAGATACTATTTCCTGGTATTTTCTTTGACTTGTCTATTATTAATGGAAATTTTTTCCACCCTCATAAGCAGAGGGTTGGTTTTTTTTTTTCTTTTTAATACAAAATGTGACAAGAGACGAAAAGAATGGAATTCTATTTCCTTTCCTCTTCTATCTATTGGCACAACAGAAGAGTCATAACACAAGCAGACTTCTTGCCCAAATACAAGGGAGCATCTCTGCAAATTCAGCATGTGAAATGAAGAGGTTTTTCATTCTATTTCAGCAGAATGGTTTGTCTTCTAAACAGAAAAACCAGGAGCAGAAGTTGCAGCATAGCTCCTTTCTCTAAGAGTTTTTGTGGTGCACATGGTTTGAAATTATTATGGTAGGATTTGAAGATTTCTTCCAGTCTAAATGATTCTATGTGTGCCTGAAGCAAATCCTACCTACAAAAATTTTAGATAGAGAACCACAAAAGTGTGGCTGAGGGGGAGAAGGAAACATCTTTGAAATCAGTGTTAAAATTATCAGTACCATGCTGAGCAATGTTGCCTATGATACAAAATAATATATTTCTTCAGTTTGGGTTTATTGTTCAGACTACAGATCAAACAACAGTACCTCTAATGGTCTACAACGTGTTCCTGTCTCAGTGAGGAAAGGATAAAAATAACCCATAAAGTCTGAAGAAAGGGAGGGATGGAGGGAGAAAAGGAGAATAGCAGCTGCTCTGAAGCCCTTCTTCAGAAGGCTCAAAGCACACAAGGAGGACATGCCACTGGGGACAGAGGATTTACTTTTTTCATTGACTTTACTCCCACTTCAAGCTATATAAATACTTCAAAATACGAAATACACATGTCCCACTGGAAAATACTGTAGTACTGTATGTTCTACTGTCTATATAAACTTTGAAGTCAAGGTGCCACCATGCCCAATTCCCATTTTCCCACCCTCTTTTTAATGCACACCAGGAGACCATTGGCCTTCTTGGCCACAAGGGCACATTGCTGCCCATGGCTAACCTATTCCCAGAAAGGACACCCAGGTCCTTCTCTGCAAAGCTCCTCTCCAGCAGGTCAGCCCCCAACCTGTACTGACAGATGCAGTTTTTCCCCCCCAGGGTGCAAGACTCTATACCTCTATACTTTCTCTTGTTAAACCTCATCAAGTTCCTCCCTGCTCAATTCTCAAGTCTGTCCAGGTCTTGTTAAATGGTAGCACAGCCTTCTGGTGTGAAGGCCACTCCTCCCAGCTTTGTATCATCAGCAAAATTGCTGAAGATGGACTCTATACCTTTATCCAGGTCATTGATGAAGCTGTTGAACAAGACTGGATGCCAACTGCTTGCCTAAACCTGAGTCAGACTGACTAACTTGACTAATCCTAAACCAGAATTTCCTCTGGTTGTAGCATGTTCTTTCTTTACTTGTTACATAGAGTGGGCTTTAGAAAAAATACAAATTAAATTTTTACTTGCAGCCTTCAATTTATCACACCACTCTTCACACCAGGACACACAACTTTAAGCAGCTCAGCTTGGTTTCTATGATTGGCACTGGATCAAATGAATTTCCATATCATACGACCCCCCACACATAAGACTCCAGTCCTTCCTCTGCTTCAGTCTCCAAAGATGAAACTACTGATAAACCTATGCAGAGTGCTCTAAAATAAAAACCCTTAAAAAAAGATCTCTAAGAAAACTTTCACATAGGAGAAAGCCATCAGACTTTCCTACTTTTCATTTTAGGATGGAAACAGCCACAAAAACCTGCACAATTTGATATGGGAAGAAGTAGCTTCTGTCAAAAAAATGCTTTTATATGGTTGATTTGTTCACTAAAAAGAATGTGGTAAATTTAATTTTTTCTGTGGAGAGGATTATTTTTTTCAGTTATATTTTGTCTTTCAAAAGAAAATAATGCAACTCATGCAAGTTTTGCAAAAACACAATGCACCCTCATATGGGAGTTAGTAGAGATTTTGAATTGACACACTTCTCAAAATGGTTAAAAGGAATACACAATAAAGCAAAATGCATGCAACAAACTGTGCAGATTGGAGATTTTGCTTTGCTTCCTTAAATAATCAGTGCAAGACAGTTTCCAATGATTTGTGATTATACGAGGATATTGAGTTAATGCAGGCTTGTAAGGTCTCAATACATTATGACAGTGTTACTAGTGAAAAAAGAGGGAATAAGGGCTACCTCCTTCATCAGATGGCCTTGTTATCTCACTGCAGTAAGAAAAGGTAGGGTTCGTGTCAGAACCATCTGATTTATAATCTCCCAAACTTGTAGAATGTAAGTACTGCTTACTGTAGCGGCTCGCTCTTTCTACAAAGGTAGAAAGAAATAATATCACAGTAAATAGATTTCAGAAAAGAAAAGCACAATAACAGCAAGAACAACTACTGCTAACACTGATATTCGTACATTGATAGTGTTTAAATTAGACAAAAATGAATTGTATAAAATTTTGTCTATATTTTTTAACATTATTAGTTCAGAAAGTTGCTTCAAAATCAGATATAATTAAGTTTGTTCTCTTGTTTAAAAGAATAGCTGAAATGGTAGGGTACTCAAAAAAAATAAGAGATGAAGCATATGAAAATTTCCAGTGGAAAATCAAAAAGTTCCTTAATTCCTGTATTCATATAAGTGCATGTAGAATGCTACTGCAAGACATGTAACTGATATTTAGGGTTCCACTTTCAGTGGCAAAGAAGATAAATGTGCAAAGCTAAGCTTTCAAAATAAATATATTTTAAAAACAAATAAAAAAACCTGTTGAGCCAATACATTTTTGCCTATTACATTAACTTCCCTACTTTTCCATCTACCCTTAAATTATAAACAATGATAAATTATAATCCTCGGAAATACAAACAATAGCATAAGAAATAATATTGTGCTACATAAGCAAAATTTGCATAGAAAAAAAAAAAAATCAATCTCATTAATATGCCAACCTTTTATATCTCTAAAATTGTAGTGATGTCCAGCTATTTCAAAATCTTACATATTATAAGGACTAAGAAGATCAATGTTTTTTTAAGGGACTATTCCTAACTATGAGTAGGTATGAGTAATTGTTGTTTAGGAAGGATTTCTTTCATTATTTCTTATCTGAACATGTGATTATGGCTGAAATTCCTAGAACGTATTTCTATAAAGCACTCATACACACACACACACACACACACACACACACACATATGCGAAAACAAAGCATACATATTAAATGGATGGCTGGCATATTGACATGAAAATTTCCTGTATCAGCTTTGTTTCATAAACACAATTTAAATTTAAAAAAAAAATTAAAAAATGTGGATTTGGTGAAAAGTCAGGATATAAGCAATACCAGAAAGCATATGCAGACTCCTAGACTGAATATTGTCCTCCAGAGGATCAATGTCGAAGATGGAGCCGGGATCTGTGCGCCAAACCTTAAGATCTTTCCCCAAAGCACAGAAGTGATAGGACAGACAAACAATAAAGGAAGTAAAAGTATGGAAGCAGTGAGTTTTAACATTCATCTAAAAATTAACTAAAACATCTCGATGTTCACCTGCAAGGACTTTAAAAAATTAATTTCCAGCTTAAACTACTAGTTGTATCTATTTTAAGAGTTGGCATTATTTAGAGACTTTTTCTCCATTTTTATTTTTCATTTTCTAAATACGGTATAGTATTTTCATAAGTCTAAATAAGTAAAAACACGCAAAATATCACATAATTGTGCTCTTTTACACAGGAAGAACAGAGTTATCAGAGCTACAAGATGATTTCTCCAGACCACCATCAGCATCCTTTGTCCACCTCTACAGTGAGACAATGCACATTATAAAGGTACAAGCCTAAGGTCAACTTTGCAAATTGGCCAAATAAGCAGAATCAAGGGTATACTTCATCTTATTCAAAATAAACTTCTAAAAGTTGCTCAAGTCATTTAAGATCAGAAGTATTTATTTCTCCTCACTAATATAAAAAAAATGAAGTAGAGTGTCAAATCCAGCTGTAGAAATCTATGTTTTAGACATCTACATTTGGGTAAGATGAAGGCCACTTCTGATCTTAAGTAGTAATTCTCCTTGTCTTTCAAACAGCTAAATTTCCAGGGATGTGGACTTAATGTTGATTCATTACCACAGTATTGAAAAGCATTGTTGAAATTCATTCAATTCAGTAACCTACAACTTTAATTCACACAAATAAATTATTAATATCTCTTGAAGTCTGAACAGGAATATTGAAAGAAAAAGAATCCATGAGAAAAAGAGTCCGAGCTCTACTTATAAACACAGCATAAAATGGAACACAGATTCAAGTGCGGTTTTCATAAATTTTTAACAAATAGTTAGTGTTGCACAAGAGGAAGCTTGTAACAAATGCATAATCAGCTCCAGTGTGACTACTCAATCTACTCACAGCAATCTGTAATATACATAATTCATTACTGCTATGCCAAAAAATACAATAATCATTTAATCTCTCAAAAGTCATTTAAAATAAATTTTTTATATTAACCATAATCACTTAAAGCATAAGTATTTCAGATCACACCCTTTTACTAGTGGTTTGTTTCTTGGGCAGACCTGTCTTTAAGATTTACTCAGATTTCCATGGGGAAATGGGAAAAATAACTGCTTGGTTATTTTGCCTATTTGAGTGGTAAAAAGCTAAATAATGGGTTGGTAGGTAAAACAGGACTATGGGAACCCCAAATATGTTGTGTTTCAAATGATTAATGGAAATGGAAAGAACAGTCAGAGCTAACGAAACAAATCCTATGGCCTTGGAATAGATTCGGGTTGTGTACATTATATATTATCTATTTTCACTCCTATAAGGTGAAGAATAATGCCAACAACTTTGTCTTGACAAAAGGTATAATCTTTTAGTAATGTACAATCTTTTGATGAACTATGTACAAGTCCTAATGATGATTAATTACACAACCACATACAATACCAACAGACTTGAGAGGGGTGGAAGAACTGGTATCTGCCTCTTTCTGTTTGCTCATGCCTTGATAAGTAAAAAATCTTAAAAAGTATGCTTCATGGCAGCATGAGTGCAGCAGCCACTGCTTTGTATTGATTTTATGTGTCTTTGTAATCTGAAATAACGTACAAAGAATCAGATCTTGGCAATTTGTAGCACTTAACAGTTTTAACATCCTGGTAATTTATGTCAATTTCAAATACCCTTAAACTCATGTGAGAATCATGAAGTCTCTTTTGTCACAGAGCCAGTGCTCAGATGGATTAATTTATCTTGATGGCTTTAGATGGCTTTAACGTGGCTAAAACTAGTGCCTATTTTCCTGAGCACAGGTATTAATTTTAGCAATCAGGCACTTGAAAAAGATTATTACAGCTTCACCGATTATACTTAAAAACCAACCAGATGAATTCTAACAGAGATACTTTTTCTAACTGGTTGAACTTCTATCAGCTACAAAAAAAACTCAAGCGTTAGAGTTGTTTTTTTGCAGTCTGCAGTTTTTTTTCCAGCTACCAAAGACATTCCAAGAACAGGAAGCATACTGCTGCTTTTTAAACAAGAGACTATAATTGCAGTCACTCTGAAAAAGCCTGAAGCTGAAATATCACTGGATATTAGGCTCTTAGGTTTGTCATGGCTTATTTCCCTTAAATGGTGCCACTATTTTTGCTGTTTTCGTAGGTACGGATAACTAAAAATTTTTGTCTGTTTCGATACAAAAATGTTCCAGGTTGATATACAGTAATAAAAATTACTAATATTTCAGTCACATAGCTCAAGAATTTCTCAGAGATGTTTTTAATCCTAATCTGTTTGTGTTAGCAAGCCTTCAGTTACTGAATACAAGATTACATTCATGAATCTCACTTTGGGATACAGCACAAATGCAATGCAGAAAAAGGTTTAAAATATGCACTGGAGTACACATTAAACTGCAATCTTGCAGGTGCTTCTCCTTCTCTCTTTGTCTGCGCCACCTCTAGCTATGGAAGTGAGTATTTTATCAGGTGTTTGGGTCTGTACATACGCTGATTTATCTGAACAAGTTGTTGCCCTAGATCCAGAATGTGTGGCTCTCTGAGATTTGCTATTGCAATAGTTTCTCTCCTAACACAAAACTAGTTTGCATCCTACACCCAAACTCCTGGTCTTATCTTAGATCACCTATTAGAACATCAGTTCTGAATTCTGGTTTCTGGCTCACTAGAGATCTACCAAGTTTTTAATGAGCTACATCTTATACTACTTAAAAAACTGTGTGAAATTCTAAAACAAGTAGTACATGGACTAATGTCAGCTCTAGAGAAATAACTTAGTGGTCTAAGGGGAAATCTGATCTGGTATGCAACATTTAAATCTTGGAGAACTACCACTTTAATCATTGTTTTTCTGTGCCAAATGAAGGAGTCAGAATTCAGAAACAAAGCAACAGTGAGTAACCATATTTATAAAGAAAACAACCTATAACTACTTCCCTAGAAGCTGCCATTGAACCACTGTTTCAACACAAGTTTCACTCTGAGAAAAGAGCGAAAATAAAATTTGAGAGCAATTTTTCTCCGTTGTAATGAAGAACATGAGCAAAGGCTTTCATCTTTCTCACAGTATTTAGGAAAGCAGTATTATTTAACAACTTACCAACGATTATTCCAGGTCTTCTATCCATTTCAACTATATGTGGGTGCACCCCTTTATATGCTGCATCACTTACAACTTGAGTGTTTTTCCGCACCCGCTCTGTTATAGGATCATCCACCACTGGGGTGAAGCCTCTGCCCTTTGTCTTCTCGAAATCTTCATGATATTTAACCTAGGAAAACAAGAGGAATCACATTTTTCCAAAGCAGCAATTAACAGCAATTGATTATTCTAGCCATACTTGTTTCTTTATGAGGCACTACATTCTCTCAGTATTTCACCACAACAGAACTGTTGTACACATGAGATACAAAAGATTTGGGCAGGCCATCCAGACTGCTTCCCTGACCTGATTTTCTGATATTATATTATCACTTTTTCATTTGTTTTGCATTGTCACCAAGACATTAATTCCAGCAGTAAAGCATCATCTTCTAGTCACAGAAACTACTAAAAACAACAGGAAAAGCCCTGAGGAGATCATCAGGTCCATATTCTTCTCTAAGTTAGGGTAGCTCTCTGGTGGTGTAAAAAACTACATCTATCAGTGAAAATGTTCCACTAGTAACAGCTTCAGAACTCAAGTACTTTCATTCGCTGAGAATTTTGATTATACACAAAGGTTCAAAAAACAAAAAGGAACTTTTTTGCTCCTTTGTTTTATCATATGATCATTGGCTTTAAACAAAAATATAAAATAAACATCAGAACAAACTGCATTTATTCTAAGAAATCTGCTTTAAAAAAAAAATCTAAAGAAATGGAAAACAAAGGCATTAAAGTAGAAAGTGTTATACAACAAAGTATTGGAACAAAACCAGTATTAGTAAGAGTTATAAAGGTGGCATCCCTGATTATATTTACTTTTTTTTTTTAATCTTTAATCATCAAAGATTTAAAAATGACAAACATTCTCACACAAGCGAATGCACACAAAACAACTCATTCCAGGAACAAAAGTCACACAGAAACCAGGAACATGCACAGGCACAAGGTGCAGTGTGTCACCAAATCCAGTCAAACTGTGTGATGCTCAAATGAGGATTTATTTTAAAGTAAGAAAAAAAAAAAGTAAAAATAAAAAAAAAAAAAAGGAACAGACATTTATCAGTTAGAAAACTGTTTATTAGTATTTTGAAAATGTTCATTACAGTCATATGCAGTTAGCAAACACTCCCTTAACAGGCATAAGAAGAAAATATTCCTTCCATATTTGAGCAGAGAGTTTCATTAGTTACCTATATTAATGGAAGGCAAAATCCAGTGGAAGTCAAGTGCCATTCCTTAGTATATTCTAGTTATAAGAAGAAGGACCCTACCATTGAGATGTTGTTTTGTGTTTCTTTGACATGCCTTAGCTCAGGTGTGTCTAGAATCATACTACGTCTACCTTTCATCTGCCTCTGATCACTGCTGTACTTCACCTGCAAAACAGCAACAACAGCACACATGAAGGTTTTGTTTACAGAAGGGATGGGGAGAACCACACTTTGCAATGGCGTTCTTTCCAAACCATAATGCCCAGGTTTCTTTCTTTATACTCATTTTCTAGTGACCTAATTTTGAAAAGGGAATACGGATGGGCGATTGTACTGTTAAGACCAAAGAGCATGTTTATTCCATCAACCAGCTAAAAACAAAAATAAAAAATAAAAAATAAAAAAGTTACCTGAAAGTTGAAACTCTTGACTTTTTACTTTCTTAACACCATAAGTGAAATAACTCTTTTACCAGCTGTTAACTGGTTATGAGTTAGGGTCAACGTAACAACCAAATACCACTGACTTGTCTTGGACAATTTTAAAGCATACATTTATGTCTGATGACAACCCAAGCAGACCCATATTCCATCTTCCGTCTACTTCCAGATAGGGATTAGCATAAGAACCTCTAGGTCTCTAGAGAATTCAAGAGTTACGAGCCAAGTATTGCTTTGGAAGCCTTCTTACTCCAGTTAGGCAGCTAGCCTTTGCTAGCTTTTGCTAGCTTTTGCTAGCAGCACAAAAGCAACGTCTGGAACAAGACTGAATGTGGTATACTGTTTTCAGTGAGAAAGTCAAAGAGAACATATGTGCTTTATGTAGCTTTAAGTACAAAATGTCACATTTCTCTTAATGAGCTTCTTCTGTGCTCATTTTACATACTTGTGCTAGAAATATAGATCCATGGTTAATTATCTGAGGGGGAAAAGAAAGAGGGAAAAAAAAATCCCACATTTAGAACTGTGAAACAGTAGAAGTAGTTGGTTTTCTTTGCCTAGTGAAGGCTTATGGTTTCTTCTAAATATAAATAACATTGTCTTTTAGTGTCATTCTTTCACTAATGGACTCTTAACTCCTACTTTGTACTGTAACCTAAGTACTGAATGTTAGTAAATATTTTAGAATTACCTATACAACTGCAGTCAAAGTATTGCTCCTCAGTTACGCAAATCTATTTCAATGTGCATTTGTAATGAGAGAATCAAGTCTATTTTCAAAATGTAGTGAATGTATTAGTAAATATATTGACCCCAGACCTTAAAAATGCAAAGATTGTCTAACTCCACTTTAAAACTACATATCAGCTAAGCACAGCATACCTACAAAAATATAAACTAAGGAGTAAATGCGCAAAAATACATACAAATGGGTTATTATTCAAACATTTAATTAAATGCCAATTTTTCTTAGTAAGAATATTCAGCATTTGAATGCTTTATAAAGTACTCTCTGAATAGAAGAGCTATGACCAGCATAGTTTTGTTTTCATCTATTGGTGATTAAAGCTCTTCTTCCTTAGTAAACACCATCATCTTTCTACATCATCTTTATGCTTTGTAAGAACAACCATAAGTCTTAATATTTTTGTTGCCCATTACTGCAGTCATGTATTCAAAGGATTTAAAAAAAAAAATTCAATGGATGATGCAGTTACATTTACTAAACATATCAAATTTAAATGCAAAAGCACATCCTTGTTATATACCTCGAGCGACTGAAAACATAAACAACAAAAAGAGCCAATCAACTTGCCGAGCTGATATTGTCTTGATTCTTCTTGACTCTCTCTATCTCTGGAGTGATGCTCACAGCAGTAGCTTTGCCAGGCTGCTCTCTGTAGTGAACCTATTAGTTAAAAGAATAAAATGGTATATACCATGTCAGCTAAAGCGACATCAAATTGTATTACATTAAAATGTGTGATTTAAAAGGTCATCCAGGAAACAAATGAAAAGCTGAAATACATTTGAAGTTTATTAAAGCTTATAAAACTTGGTTTTTGAAGCAAAGTCTTGAATTCTTTCTGTTAAGTCTTCTTATTAATGCATTTATGTGAACAGGCACACAGATGCACACAATATCTCAACATTTACCACACTGATCTTTGGCAGTACAGAGAAATATCTTCTATTTGGAATGGAGTAAACCACAAATAATGTAATAAACTCACACTGAGCAAATGAAAAACCTGAATTTCAGCAGCAAACACTGTAAATGTGTATTTCTCCACACACAAAAATTCCATAAGGATATGATTCATGTTTTAACTTACATAGTCTACATATTCAGCCACACTAATATGGATGCTGATGGAAGTCTCACTAAGGAGAAAGGCTCATCAACGGGGTACAACTTCTGCAAGAATGCAACTGCATACTCAAAAATCTCCTACCTTCTTCCACATGCTCCTACAAACAGAATAACTTTCTAATATTTTCTTCAGCCATTAAGCAAAATCTGATAGGAAATTTAGAGAGGAGCCAGCCTCTTGCAAGCAGGAGAGAAGTGGATTTTGAGTTTTACCCATTTAAAAAAAAAAAAAAAAGGAAAAAAAAAAAAAAAGCTGGATAAATATTCTATTAAAAAAAAAAATCCGTGAAGATTTCCTGCAAATATCCAAGACATTATAATAAAAAACTGCAGCCATTTCTTCAGTTGAGATGCAGTGTTTTAAATGCCATTTTCTGAACAGAAGAGTGGCTTTTCAAAACTGCTTCCTAAAAGAGGGTTTTCAAATAATTCCATTACTGAGTCTGCTAACTAAAGAAGAGGTACAGGTTCTGGAGACAAAACTTTATACTGATCCTGTACACCCAGCAATTATGCAAAGGAATAAATGAGAGAAACTTCCCATGCTGACATTCTCTTGATTCCTCTTGACTCTTTCAATCTCCGGAGTGACACTTACAGGTGTAGCTTTGTAGAGCTGCTCTTTATACTGAACCTAGTAAATACGGCAAAAGGTATTACACAAAGACTTCCAAGTGACAGGAGTACATCAATGCATTAGAAATCATTACAGAGCACACTACATTTGGCTGGAAAATATCATTCCTTAGTAAACACCATCATCTTTCTACCACAATACTTAAGACTCACACTACTTTTTCTGTTTCTGTAATTTTTCTGTTTCAAAGGTAAACAACTGATGTTTCAATAGGAATGTTTCACTCTGTTAGTTAAAGTGCAGGGCTAAGGAGTTAACATCTTAATTATTAATTGACTAAATTAGTCTTTGTGGACAAACAGAAACCAGCACAAACATTACACACATATTCACTGAGGCTACGACACACAATAAAGATTGCAAACAGTGAAAACAGGGCACACATTGCTTATATTCTTCTGGTTTTCCTTGATTCTCCGTAGTTCAGGTGGATCAGAAATAGGAGTTGCATGCTGAATTTCTTCTTTGTATTTAACCTGCACAACAAATATTATGAAATATTAGCAACTCATAAAGGATATAGGCAAGTAATAAAACACAAGTTTTATAATTCATCCTTTGCATGCACCGCATAGCTAGACCAAACCTACCAGCACTACTGACATGAACAAGAAGAGATATATTTCATTTCTGAGACAGACTGCTGGGTCTCAGATAGGTCTTATTTGATAAGATATAGATAAAGGCATAAAACAAGCCTGGTATCCTAAAACTGTTATGGCATGAATATACATCACATCAGAATGCAGCTATCTTCACGGTAATTGAGATGCCACATATACTACTTGGAGATTTGCATGACTTTGACAATGTCTTGGTCTTGTATTATCTTACTGGAGAATCTACCAGTCCATTCCAGAAACCAAATATTTCACAGATGTGATTCTGCAAGGGTAGAATGTGGAAGTGGCTTCAAAGTGGCTTCAAAGTCTGAAAACATGCACATTATGAAGAACACAGATGTTTGGATGGATTATGCTTTTGAAGACGCTGTCAGAGATTTAGTGATGTTTTTGCCACATCTCTTCTGAACAGTATGTTTGGATATGGTAGAATCTACAATTTGAAAGACACAAAGAACTAGAAGCACTTCTTCAATTATACACCACATGTATCAAAAATGGAACTCAATTTAACGAGAAAACACTGTGAGGTAACTGCACATGGTATTAAAAAGAAAGACATTATATTTTCTGTTTTTCCATATGCTATCCGACACAGTCATCTTGGACAAATTAGTGCAATGTCTTTTTCTTGCTGTCTGTTACTAAATATCTGTCCACTATTTGGTACATTATGCTTCAAATCCCTTTTTCACTGTAGCAAAACAATATCCAGAGTCCATGTCATTGTTCACAATATGGCATGCTGCTTTCTTTTTTAAAATGGTAAATACAACAGCAACATTCACAAAAATATTCAAAATTGTGTCTGCAGTGATACATGATAGAAGGAAATGTTTTTCATTAGCAAGATTCACGGAAGCAAAAGAATATTAAGAACAAGAGAACAGTATAATTAATCTATTTTTGCAGTTTTATATTTATGTAGTGTACAAAATTTATTCTTAACAAATTTTTAAGGCTGCAAAATCAAGCATTCAAAAGTCAGAAAACAACACAAGTTACTTCATCAATGTAACCTTATTTCTGCCTCTTATACAAATGTGTTCCACATTCAGCTTTTAATATACTTTGTTCTACTGTATACTTTTCGTCTTCATGTGCCCAGTAACCTTCTTTATGAACAAAAAACTGTTTCTCTCAAGAGAATTCTGTTTCATTCCTTATATATAATCAATGATCCTTACTCAATGAGTAGCTCACATATGAATCAAGACTGCTTTGTCATACTTTTCTTTTTTTAAACTGTTTTAAGTTCCTACTCTGAAGACAGAATTTCTGATTTCCTCAGGAAATCACTACAGTTTCTCCTCACTAAAGTACATGACTTTTTGCACAAATTAGCTCCTCTACTATGCTCCGAAGGCAGGAGAAATAGAGCTGTGATAAGAGTACTATTTTTACTAGAGGAAAGACTTGTAGCAGCTACTCTGATAACATCATCTAAAAAACAAAAGATAATACTGCATCTGAATTCAAATGACAGCTCCCAGTGAACTGTACTGTGTTAATCAGGAAATCAAAGCAGGTTTGTCTCAGTGGGACTTTACAAAATCTAATAGTTAAGGATTGGATCACAAGGCCTATACACAGGAACTTGTATTCATGCTCTTGAGTACTGACTTTGTGACCTTAATAATACTCCCTGCACATACAAGCAATTTCTCATGGCTGAAAAATGTATTTACATTCCTTCTGTGCCTTTATCTAAGCCCCATGTTGTTTGTAGCAGTAGGCTTTAACATTTACATTGACTGTCCAAACCCATAAGAACAAGCGCAGTTTGTTACCTCTGTGGACACCAACATTAAAGAAATAGATAATATTTTGAATATTTGAATATTTTTTATCACAGATAAATGCTGGAAGGAAGCAAGGAAGTAAAGAGTCTAAGCAACCTCGGGTCCTGTTTCACCTCTGAAAGGATGCATCTATGCACAGGAGCACACCACTCTGCCTGTCTATCCCACCTTTGGCCTTTCTATTTTGGTCACAGCCAACGCCTTCTATACTTTCAATTCTTCATCCCTCATTTTTTTCCCACCTAAATCCACTTGAGCAAATACTACTTGCTAGATGGATTTCAACTCTCTTCTCTAAAGCCAATTTTACTTTTTTTTTAACACAGGCTATACAACTTGTTTTTCTGTGAACTTATTCTTGGAAGCCACTTTGGCTTAAATTAATAAATAAATGATTAAATAAATAAAACAAAAACAGCCCAAAGCTGTTCAGATCAGAAATGGAAAATTTCAGTCCTGACAGTTAAGTAAGAAGTATTAAACTGTTGAAAACAGCATCTTTTAATAGAGAGCATTAGGTAAGCTCAAAAATTGGCAGTGCTACTATTCCTTAAAATACTTCAAATTGTCCACAGCTTAAGTCTTAATCAGCCTTTTTGGTGCTAAGTGACATATCACAAGAGTTTCCTGATGAATTTCACACAAAAAAAAACACATCTACAGTCTTCTCCCCAAAAAACTTTCTTCCTCATGCTGCGTCCATCTTGCCAGTCCTCTAATATAAAGAAGTTAAAAAACAATCCTCTTAGTTATTTGTATATTCTTGGTTCAGATTCAGTTTCAGTCCACGGGTCTGATGTTTGCTTTTAAAGTTTTGTGAGCCACTAACTATTTATGAGGCTGTCTCATCCTTCCCTTTCATCACAACAGGTGAGATCAGCTCAACCACATTGGCTGCCATCACCTTGTTTTTCAGAAGAAGAAAACAGAGTGTTCTGAGATTTGCCTCCAATAGATGTCATCTGGAAGAATCTGATCACTTTCAGAACGTGATGCAATGGACTTTGTTGTTGTTGTTGCGTAATACATGATGACTGCTATTTTGGTCAGACTTTCTTATTTAATTGGGGTTTTTGCACTGCTGATGAGCATCAAATTCCATTAAAATCATCCAGCACAGCAGTTTTAAAGCTGTCCTAAATCCTGGCTAAATTCAAAGATACGTGTAAGATATTTAGATCTAAAAGAGTGAAAATTGGTGTAATTTGTTTTTTTTACTTTTGGGCTCCTGTAAATTACATCATACAGTTTCCCTTTTACTGACAAATAGTTTAAAAATTTATTTCATGCTGCCTTTAAATTTGACATACTTTCACTTTAATAATTACTGTACAAAACCTAAGTAATCATAAGTACACTACATAGGCTAGCACAGCAAAAGGCATGCTACTAAACCACTATTACTAAAGTCACAACCACATTTTGTATTTCTCTTGATACACTTTTGTTCAAGTGCAGTTACCAGCATACTGATCTACCTTTCATCACCACTGTTTAGACTTTGTGAAAAAGCAAAAGCTGTCTCAGCTTGAGCACTCGAGTGCTACGCGCAACGCACAAGAGCATTCTTCTATTTCACTCTAAAACGTATCCAGTGAAAAATATGAGTATGATTTCTCCTAGTAAAACCTCTGTCTGTGCGTGGGTAGGTGTGGGTGTGACTACTCTCAAACTAAACTGCTCAGGGAACTAGAAATTAAGTTTAAGACATCAGCTTATCAGCACACATAGAGGCATAAATTCTCAACCTTCTCACAAGATTTGAGATGAGCATTCATTTCTTTCTTCTTGAAATATAAATGGTACCAAATCCTGTGTAATACATGCAGACTCAACAAAATCTTTAAAGATTTTCATTTTTGTCATGTGATTTATGACTGCAGTTCAGTCTGGCATATCAGTCAATACAGTTTGCATTTCTCACTCTTTAAAGACAAAACTCTTTCCTCAAATGGCTTTCTTCCTATATTTAATAATCATTCAGTTTGAAATTCTACCTTTGGACTCAGAAAAACTATGCTAGAATGGAGCTTTATATTTGAAATCCAGTGAAATAGTAATGGAATGAGATACATGACACGAAGACATAGAATTTTTAGTAAAGAAAATGAAAAAAAAAATCTGACCACTGCTTACTCACATAAGAATAATCACTGTTAATAATACTCACCGAACTAATATTCTGCTGATTTTTCTTTACTCTTTCAATCTCTGGAGTCTCTTTAACAGCTGTGCCAGCTCCTACCACCTTCTTATAAAACACCTTTATTTCCCAAAAAGAAAAAGTAATTATTAGAATGATAGCATTACAAGTACAAGTTTTCATAAAAGGACTGGGCAATTTTCCAAGTTTCAAATTGGTCTGATGACAAATCTTGCTAAGAAAGCAAATACTTCAATTTTTTATAAATCAGACCAATTAGCAATAACTATAATAATATTTTATTTGTTTTCAACTGTAAACCAGACAAGCTATTATTACCCTTCAGACTCACTTCAAATATGTGCAAGCATTTGTAATGACAGTTTATACTTTCAAAATAATATTAAAATTTAAATCAGCGTTAATGAACATTTAAAAATGCAACTTTATGCTTGAGCAATCTCACTGATTTCAGTATAATTGAAAATGCGTGTACATGCAAGATTTTAATTTTGGGTTTAATCTTCAGATTTTAAAATCCTTTGAGATGTTAATAGATATTATTACTTCTAATTTAACAAAATAGAAAATGACATATTTGTGACTAAATAACCCGGGGAGCCAGAGCTACAATCCAAGTCATGCAATCTTTGTCTTCTGCATTCAAGCCAGAAGGCTGTGAACTGTATCTAAAAACTCTGTTCTGAAAAGTCACACAAGCAGTTTATACAAGGAATGCTGTGGAAGTAAAGTCGCCTATTTTATTGTGTTGGCCCACAATGTCAGAGGCTAATGTTGGTGGTAAGGCAGCCAAGGTTAAACCTTCCCACCAGTATTCTGTTCCATTTTGTTGTTGAATGACAGATGGTAACAGAGGGGCAGTCTGACAAAATGGCATTCAACATGGAAATGTGTATGGAGCAAAGAGGTAGAATTGAATTCCTTCATACCGAGCAAACTGCACCCACTGATGCTCCAAAGAATGGATGTGAACACAGTGGTGGGTGGTGCTTTTCAGCAGTGGCATCAATACTGGTTAACCATGCACAGCTGTCACAACAAAGTACACATGCAAAGTTTGCACCAGGTAGATCATATGAATGATCACACAGCAACAAAAAGAAACTCGTATGCAAGTTTGTTAGGACCTAGTTAGGACCTACTGAACCAATTTGAAGCTGAAGGTAACAGTTCCCTGGATTGCTTCATTACCAGTGAAGAGACTGGTGTCACCACCATGACCTGGTGTCAAAACAGCAGTCCATAGAGTGGCAACATGTGAACTCTTCACTGAAGGGGAATTATTCAAGACACAGCCCTTAGAAGGTAAAGTGATGTCTTTTGGGATAGGAAACCAACAATCCTTCTGAATTTCCTGGAACCCAGAAAAAACCATTAACTCTGACTGCTGCATCGTGAAGCCAATTCAGCTGAAGGCCAACAGTTCCATAGTTGGACCAGAGAGGAAGACAACCTTCCTCTTGCAACACATTAATGTTAGAGCCCATACCAGTTTGAAGACTGTGGAGTACATTGCCAATCCTTGGTGCTCTGTCCTACCACACCCACTATATAGCCCAGATTTGGTGTCTTTTGACTTCCAAGTCTTCAGACTGCATAAGCAACATTTCCCTATCAACTATGCCATCAGAGCAGATGTGATATAGTGGGTCACCTCCATTGGTGCAAATTTTTACAAGTGCAGCATCACTTGCTCACCATAGGTCAAAATGCATAGCTAATGGTGGAATGACTATGCTGAAAAATAGTGCTTTGTAGCTAAGAATTTATTCAAATAGCTTTATTGTGCTCTTTGCATTTGTTGCAGTTTCTGTGGAAATAAATAGAGGCATTACTTTCAGAGCAACCTATGTGAAATTCTCCTCCTTATTTCAATCGTTTCAAAGAAGTATAAAATAAAAGCACATCAGTAGAACCAGTCGTTTAAATTTACTGAAGGAGACAGTAAATAACTGCTTCACAAATTCCAAATGTGGATATAATTTAAATAACCATGAAGCACCAGTTCAGACGGAAAAACTCCTGAAGTTTTATTTTTATTTCAGCATTTGTTGTCACAGATGTTACCATTCCAATAAGTATTTCCAGACTAGCAGTTTAAAAAGAAGTCTGGTCCTGGCAGTTGTAAAATAAATCTTTACCATTTAGCATTTCTATTTTCATGAACTAAGGTTTATTCTACTTCAAAATTTTACTTCTCTCAAACATTAAACCATGAAACATTCTGACCATAAACTAGGGTGACAGTACTGGTGAGTTTTCTAGTGGAGAATTAAGTATATGAGTACATTTTCAGATACTCAGAAAACCGTTAGCAATTGAAAATTTTCTTTTATCACATAAGAGCAAAATCAGCTCAGAGGAAGAGTTTGAAAAATATTTTGCACATGCATATCAGTACAAGGTATAAAGATTGAAACTGTGGACTAAAGTAAGCAGTTCAGATTTTTCATACTCCACTGATAACTTATTCCCCCTCCTCCCTACCCTTGCACCATATGTATGTTCAACTCTCTTCTCCACTCTACATCCTAAATCATGGCTTGAGCTAACAAGCCACACAATGTGACCTATGGAATATTCAGGGACATCATTATACCATTATAATCTCTTCTCTGCCAGCAATGCAGACTTATCAAAAAATCAAACAAGCACCTAGCTTTCTTTCCAATATTACTTTGGTTTTGTTTGAAAGAGGATGAGTTGAATTTTTTCTATAGTGCTAGTCTATGGGGCACCCATAGCCATTGTGGACTAAAGCCCCAGCTTATAGCTGCCATTTATTCCAAGGTGGGAAGCCTTCCCATCTCTTGAGGCCCTATATAGGGATCTGGACAGGCTGGATAGCTAGGCTGAAGCCAATGGGGTGAGGTTCAACAAGACCAAATGCCAGGTCCTGCATTTTGGCCACAACAACCCCAAGTAATACTACAGGCTTGAGGCAGAGTGGCTGGAAGACTGTGTAGAGGAATTGGACGGGAGGGTATTGATTGATGCTCAGTTGAACATGAGCCAGCAGTGTGCCCAGGTGGCCAATAAGGCCAATGGCATCTTGGCTTGCATCAGAAACAGTGCTGCCAGCAGGAACAGGGCAGTGATTTTCCCCCTTCACTCAGCTCTAGTGAGGCCGCACCTCAAATACTTTGTCCAGTTTTGGGCCCCTCACAGCAAGAAAGACATTGAGGCCCTGGAGCGGGTTCAAAGGAGGGCGACACAGCTGGTGAGGGGTCTGGAGCACAGGGCTGATGAGGAGCAGCTGAAGAAGCTGTGATTGTTCAGTCTGGAGAAGAGGAGGCTCAGGGGAGACCTCATTGCTCTCTACAACTTCCTGAAGGGAGGTTGTAGTGAGCTGGGGGTCAGCCTCTTCTCTCGTGAAATTAGTGATAGGACCAGAGGGAGTGGCTTCAAGCTGCACCAGGGGAGATTCAGGCTAGACGTTAGGAAATACTACTTCTCTGAAAGAGTGGTCAAGCACTGGGATAGGCTGCCCAGGGAGGTGGTGGAGTCACCAACCCTGGAGGCGTTCAAGGAACATTTGGACGTTGTGTAGAGGGACATGGTTGGTAAGTACTATTGGTGATTGGTGGACGGTTGGACTGGATGGTCTTGTAGGTCTTTTCCAACCTTGGTGTTTCTGTGATTCTGTAATTCTGTAAAGTACACTTTTCTCCCCTACCAGGGAGGCAGTGATAAAAAATATTAGAGTAAGAATTTTTTCTATAGAAGAGAAGACTAAATAGTAAAAATCCTATTGTAAATAATCTATCAAATGAGCTAGTGAGCTATAAGCAGCACTGATTTTATCTGCAGAGCTAGCCATCTTTTTTTGGTCTCATAAAACAGGAAAGTACTTGAGATGAAATAAAAAAATCAGAAGCCAATTAAGCGTCATTAACTTTTTCTACATAGAGGTGTTCCTTTAAGTTAGTAAAAACTTACCTTTATAATCTAATTTGTCCAAAATGTAGAAATATTAGAATGAAGAGAAAGAAACTAAATTCTCTCTTCAGTCTCACTTATGAACAGCTTTCTTACATTTGGAAGATCCACTTCAGGTACACAGAAATGCTGATCACAACACAACCTCAAAGACATAATGCTTTTATTTCATGTTATGCAGTACAATAACTACATAAATCCAAAAGAGTACTGTCAGTCTTGGCAGACTGGCCATACATTGCTGCAATGAGTTCAGATGCATCAAATGCTCTAAAAGGCTTAATTAAGTAGTGCATGGTTTTTACATGGCTGGTATCTGACTGTTAGTGAGCCCATTCTGCTTAGATCTGCTGACCTGAGAACTCAATCAAAAGCTATCAAACACTGAAGCAGAGAAGAAAGCAGATCAGTAGGGGCTAGCTGGGATACCCTCCATTACATGGGGTGTTGGTATAGGATGCCAGCAACAGCAGATACAGAGCTAATTGCCTTCACACCATGCAGCTAAGCACCATTCAAAACCAAGATGCAACAGGCTACAAGAAACTGGGGTCAGGGGGCCTGTCAGCAGCTTATATTAGGAAGATGTAGCTTTCAGCTGTTCTCATCCGAGGGAAGGAAAGGAGCCAATACCTAATGGCTGAAAGAGGTTGAAGGAGAAGTAGAGCAGTCCAGAACACCCTCAGAGTCTTCACTTCTTTCCCTTCAGGCTCTGAATTCCCTAAGGATGCCACGGTGATAATGAGAGCACCAGGAAATTGCCTCTTAGAGAAACTAATAGACCTTGTACTTGTAGTGGTGAAGCTGAGAGAAGCTCTAAAGAATTACATCTGTGTCAGATAACGCTAAAATTCTGGAGTTACTTAAATGCTTCTCTCTCAAATCATTGGCTTTACTAGTATTATTTAGTCTGCCAGAAAAACAAACACTAACTGGACAGTCTGTGGCTCTAAAGGCTAAATTTGCCCTCCATATTTTCTTCAGTTATATTAAAAGCAAAACCGGAATTACTAACAGCAGAGTCAATGGGCCCAAAGAGGAAATGGAACTGAACACAACAATCATGAACTGGACAATCTTCGAAATCTAAATTCATAATTTATATCTGAGGATAGATTAAAACTTAAATCCAGCATAACATTTTTTAAATGTAACAAGTGTATCATAAAATCATTAGACATATATTTATGACACTTGCTCTGTTCTAATTTTATACCAGAATGCTAGTGTTCTGTACATATGATAGGAAACAGATGAAAAGTCCTATTTGCACAGTAAGAAGCCTTAGTTATTTTGTCCATTTAAATAAAATGCTCCTGGGGCTTGATGGAAAAAGAAATCTTTTAAAAATAATTGCGGTATGGCAAGACAGTGTAAGTGCTTTAGCAATTCAAAATAAGTGTCACACCTAGAAAACTGGTTATTTTTTTATTGAAAGAAATGAGCGATACAGACTTTGCCAGGAAAATATTGCAAATAGTTCAAAGGACATTTACTCATAAGTTCCCTATTTCATGCTAAGGCACAAGGGACACTATTTAAGCAGAAAATATCTGAAAATGTGAAAGAGAGAAGCAGTATTACTCACTGAACTGATGTTTTTCTGTGTACTTTTTATCCTCTCCATCTCTGGAGTGTCTGGGACAGCAGAATAGTTACAGAGCATCTTCTCTGCTTCGTCTTTGTACATTTTCTGAAAAATAATTTTGAAATGTCAATTCCCTGTTTTGTTAGGGCTTAGAATACACAAACTGCCACAAAAAAATGCTTATTGCTGACGAGTGTCAACAGTCATTTACAGTACTAATTTCAACATCTTTCCTCCATGATATTCCTATCACTGTGGAACCATTACGCCCCTATCTATGTGGAACAGCTGACAGTGAAGAAAACAGATATAATTTTTTCTTCCCATTAGGTAGTGTAAAAAGATCTGCACGTACATGTAAAAAATTCAAGACAACTTATGTGGCATGACAGGCCTAAATACAAATAAGAATCAGGCAGTAAGATTTTTTCTATGCATAAATTAATTTCATATAGGTTTGAAAGCCTCTACAGAGATAGAGAAGTATTCTGAGCAATGTACTTCCAGCACTCATTGTTACACACCAATTAAAAACTACGCCTACCTGGCTTGCTATTTCTGAAGCTCTTTTCACCCGTTGTATTTCAGGAGTAAATGGACCAACTTGCATCCCTTTTCCTATAATTTCAGTCTCCAAATCTTTTCTATATTCTTTCTGCAAAATAGATTAAGATTAAATAAAAATAATGTATATTAGAGTAAAATCCAGTGAACTGAACTGGAATAAAATTAAATAAAGACATATCCCTGAGTATGCACTGTAACTAATTCCATGGTTATTTGCACACATTGTCTTCAAAGCTATACTGATATCACTGATTAGCCTTCAAAAGAACTGCTTCAATTTCTGTAATTTGATTTTTCTTTTTTTTTTCTTTAAACTGTGCTCTGCTTATTCCTTTTAGCACAAGTTTTTTTTTTTAACATCTCATTCCATTTCACTTCAAAAGTAATCTTAATAGATCCAATCTGTACTCACCTGGCTTACAATTTCAGAAGCTTTCTTTGCTCGTTGTATATCAGGAGTATCCATGCCCACTTCCATTCCCTTTCCTTTAATTTCATTCTCCAAGTCTTTCTTATATTCTTTCTGAAAATAATATTATTAGCATTACTCAGATGTCCAGCAAACAAATCCTTCCATTTTTCCTCTCTGTTCAATTCCACCAAGCATTATCCATGAAGAATCAAACAACTTTTGGTTCAATAGTATTATCTTTGTAGGATCTATATACAACTCAACTGTACTACAGCTGTGATCAGGTTAAAAAATTATTTTAACAGACTGCTTTCTCCATATTTGACAGTCACATTTATCTGTCTTTCCAACTTCAACAGCCACAGTCAGAGGAATATGTAGTCAGCAATTTTTACCCTTCAGCTGTTGCGACACTCAGATCATAAGGCTTTTAGCATGTCTCTAGCTGTGTTTATTGTACCCCACCTAAACAAGCAGCTGCTATCTAGACCTAAAAGTAGGAGGGCTTGCAGCTACTGAACACAGTCAAGGCCAGGCACGGTTAAGGGTCGAAGTTCTGGGAACATTTAGATTTCCCCACATGTGGACTATATAACTTTCAAACTCCATAAAGCTCAACAGAGTAGGACTTTAGTGAACCTGTTATATGTCTATTGTCTAGATTATTTGTCATGCAGAACTCTCAACAACAATAATGTTCATTATGTCAGAGGCAAAGCTTGGACCAGGCATGATACTTACAGTGCTTGCAATTTCAGAAGCTTTCTTGGCTCGTCTTATCTCAGGAGTATCTGGACCAACTTGCATGCCCTTCCCTTTAATTTCAGTTTCCAGGTCTTTCTTGTATTGTTTCTGAAAAACAAAAACTTATACATTAGGTTCACAATAGTCAGAAAGTTATGGGTAGATTTTTACACAAGAGTCAATTTAAGAGCCACAATTTCACCCTCAATCAAAAATCTTAACTAGAGGATTAAAACTCTCAGGAGTCTTGGCAAGATTTTAATAGGAAAACATGTAAAAATCTAGAGGAGAAAAACTTTAGGAGAATATACTGAATACACAAATACAGTGAATATACAAAACTCCACGGCTGAATTTGGGAGGGGGCTAGGTGAATCTGCCCATACAGATTGCTGTAATTATCTTCTAAAATAAAGAGGCAGTTTAACTCAGCAAAATCTAGTCTAATGAGCTGGTACTTGATGCCAGACTAATAGAAACACATTTTAAGAAAATATTTTATTCATAAAGTCTACATACTAGAAATTTAATACAGAACAGAACTGTTTCCACTGAACTTTCAGAACATGAAATTGTAATTTATTCATTTAATACATCTTTACTGAACCACAGCCATTAGACAAGTGGCTGTACTCATCCATGATTGCTGCTTTAGCCCACAACATAAATTATAAATAAATAATAATCAGGAATCTTCAGCTTTTTCAAGCATGGATGTATTTCATTTTCTTTTTAAATTATATTAAAAAGTAATACTGAAAATCACATACAATAATTGTACTTTTTAATACATTACACTTAAAAAATTTAAAAGACTTTTTTATGATCTCTGGCACTGCTATCTTTGATACTGTAGAAATAATCATTTTTACTATTTTAGTTCATATGCTTATGGAAAGAAGAAAACTTTTTAAAAAGTTTTCCTAATTTTCCTGTTCATTAACTATTTTTAGGTTACATTTTAGTTAGGAGGGAAAAAAAAGAATATCCTCATTACAGTGCTCTAAACTGCAAAAAGTAACAAGAATGAGAGCAAAAATACTTTCAGTTTTCTATCTCTGTCTCACTCTGATGAGGAAATGTGATAAAACTACTCTCTACTTCCAATACCGGACTCCAAACTTCCCAATTTTTTTATTTTTTCTAAGTTTCAGTTAAAAAGTGAGAAGACACCATCTCCCACTTCCTCTCTGCTAAAAGCAGAACGGCAAATGCTTCCTCCCGGCTTCCTGCTGTGTGTACAACAAGGAGAAGATAACTCAGGGAGTTACAGCTACGTTTTCCTGCACACTGGTAAGGTCGGGCCCTACGCACAGCAGTATCTCTGGTTATTACGGCTAGAGATACATATATGTGTAAAAAAAATACACATATCATACGTATATAAAACATACAAACATGTAGGGTTCTCCGAAAGTAATTAACACCTCCTATTTATTCCATGGAAATTATAATAGATACAAAGAGCACAATCACACTATTTATCTGAAAGAAAAAAATCTCAGCAACAAAGCACAATTTTTCATCATAGTAACCACTATACATGTTCACCAGCCATGAACAAGAGCTTGCATGTCACACTCATAAAAATTTGCACAGAATGTGGTTTGTCTTTCATGTCACAGTTGCCACTGCTGAAATGTACCACTCACTGCCTCACTGTGCGCACATCCACTCTTTGGTTCCCATAAATATTCAGCAAGCATCAATGAATGTGAACAGTTCCAATATTTTCCACATTACGGAATTCAATTCTACCCCTTTGCTTCAAACACACTCTCATGTCACATGCCATTTTGTCAGACTGTCCCTCTGTTGCCATCTGTCACATGGCAACAAAACATAAGGGAATTTTGGTGGGAAGGTTTAACCTCAATTGCCATCCCACCAACATTTGCCTCTGACATTGTGGGCCCACATAATAAAATAAGAGACATTACTTTCAGAGCATCCCTCCTGTATATATACAAACATTCACATGACAAGTGGTGCCAGCTTTGAGTTCTAGCAAAGCACACAGCCTTGAAAAGCATATATCAAGTCACGAGCTCCTCAAAACGCTTTCAAGCTACATAGGGTCAACAAGTCTTCCACTTCTACTCTTAATCCTTCAATGGGAGTAGGTCACACTTCCAGAACAACTTAGATCAATACAGTTAACAGCAAAGTTTAGTTCTAAAAATATACTCTGGAAAGACCCTGCATCTGTCTAGTTGCAAAGGCAAGCTCAAGAAAACCCATTTCTTCAGGAGCAAGTCTACTTTCAGGAAAAAGCTTCCAGAAGTAGAACGTATCTGGATAAACATTCTCTCAAAGATGTTTGATAGTCATTACCAATGGTTATTTTTAAATAAGAGAAACAAATTTCAAAAAGCTGGAAATCACTTCCTTGGCTTTCCTTTAGAAGTTAATTAATTAATTAATACTCAACTCTTTTTCCATTGCAGTATTAGTGATACTAATTGAACAACTGGACTAGATTGTCTACCTGTTGGCTCCACTAGCAATTTACACTGACCTTTTCATTGTCTGAGAAGAAATATTTGTCTTAAGTTTCTTTCAAACTTTTTCAATATTCTTAAATCAGAACAGAACTAGCCTTAGTTTAAATTCTTACATATTTCACTGCAGAGTATGTTTAAAGAATGGAATATTTTCCACAGATTATAGCATAAAGAGTGAACTTTCTCTGGCATCAATAATCTCGACCAGCATAACGTACCTCATTTAGTATCTGAGCCGCATTTTTAACTCTAATCAAATCTGGCGTATCTTCAAACACTGTCATTCCTTTTCCTTTCATCCATTCTTCCAAATCTTTTCTATACTCTTTCTAAGGATTTAAAGAGAGATTTCTCCAGTTAATATTGTGTGCAAGATCTTGAAAAGAAATGCCATTTATTAAACGTCTGAAGGGCCTCTTTGAAATGCCTATAAAATATGAACTATCTGAAGGTTTCAGAGTTAAAATAGAATTTAAAATTATCAAATCAAAAGCTACAATTTTGCAAAAGTCAAAAGGTTTTAAGATAGCCATTTATTTTCCTGTTGTGCTCTTGAAAAATAGTCCTCTTCTATACAGTCCTAGCACATTATTTAGGGGACTCAGCTGCCAATCTACATTTTAATTGCAGAAGCATTTGCTTATACACAGGCTAGTATCTGCTGTGCTGCCATTTTTACCTCCTTTTCACTAATGGATTCACAATCAGGATGGATTCCTTGAATGCTGTAGTAGAGAGGACCAGTTAAAATGACTGCTTGATAAAGCATAATGTAGAAGCAATATTCCTACCATTTCTCTTCTGTTCCCTGCAGACTCTTCACTGTTATGATCTATCAACATTTAAGAACTGTAGCCTCCAGAGCACTCAAATGTTCAGAATAAAATTAAAAACACACTGGAATCTGTCTGCGGACACTTGGTTCTGCTTCTTCTTCCCAGTACATAAAAAGCTGATGCAAGTCCAGAAGTGAAAAATCCTTTGCCTGTTCTGGGATTTTTAATTGCTTTTTCCACATCTTTGTTTAGTTTTTTAATGCAAGGCAAATAGAAGTTTGAAGAAAGAATTTGCATACACACAAATTAATACTCTTAAACACATATTAAATTTATAGGAAGCAACACCTTTGCCTCAGCACAGGTCTTTTTATAAACAGAAAGAAATCAGATATTTTTAAGCAGCTTCTTTTTATCATGAGAAGCAGCCATAGAGGCTGAGAACTTCTAATTTAGAATTATCAAATTCATTTCTCTCTTTTGACAGTCATGAATATGGTTCCAGAGTAGGTTCCTACTTTTACAAAAATATTAAATATTTGCAGAATTATCTATAGTAGGAAGGCAACAGAATTAGTTGAAACACAGCTAAGTGAAAAAATAATAATAATAATCAAATTTTTAATAACACCAGGTTCTTCTCATGTTTGGAACATTATTTAGATCTTATCGTAGGTCTTCAGCAAAAATATATCCTGAGCTGTATCCATGACTGAGAAGAAAATACACTATTTTCCTCACTCTTGAAAGATAATAATTGATTTGATCTATGTAGTCTCTGGGGTTTGATTCTTGAACATGGATATAAAATCTGAAATTCAGTATCTTTCCACATTGAAACACTATTTCCATTTTCTCATATTTTTCAACAGATACGCTTTATTCCCTAAGTAATGAGTTGCAAAATCTACGGAGGTAAAAATTAGAGAACAGCTAAATACATGACACATTACACAGGGAAGTCAACTGAAGTTTTTGAAGGTGTAAACTTAGAGCACTTCTGCCACTATGCATGTACTATCCATTTCTGTGGACACTTAGCAAGCAGCAAGATAAAGTCAATGAAATGTAAGCATTTGCATTTTTTCCCTAGTCAGCAAACACAGATGAGAGACATGAGGGAGTTCTGTATGCACAGAAAGGTATTGCCCAAGCAAGATCAAGCTTGAGACTTACCTGTATGACAGACAAGCTTATAAAAATAAATTATTTATTAGAGGATGGATAATAAGGAAATATGTGAACAGACTTTCATTTCGCACAGCACAGTCTGGGATAAGCCGTTTTAAGAACAAGTGAAGTAACAAGCTTCCAGGGTTTTTCATTCTAGCAGCCTCAATTCCATCCATACCTCTGGGCTATAGCAAAACCATCAATTTTTAATACAGTAAATATAAACAAGGCACTGCTGGATCCCAGATTCAAATGGGGAAGATCTAGGAGCAGTGATACTTCTAACTGTGCATTTTAAATTTATAATTTTCCAATACGTTTGCTTCTAAGTTTAGTCAAATAATAAATCTGATGTATAGAATCAATCAATACTCAAAACCAAGCATGAGTATAGTTAAGAGTGTTTTGAATAATAATATACAAATTAAAAGACTAACAATACATCTATTCTCAGTCATAGAACGAAAAAAAACCTGTTTTGATTCGTAATGTCATACACAACTGAAGAACAATGAGAATATAGAAAATCCACACATTTTAACTAAATTTGCTTATAGCAGATTACGTAATATCGGAGCAATTTTAGTCTTCTTAACTTTCATTCATAACAAATCTAATCATAATTGTTCCAAATAGATCAGTTAAAACTGACTTACACTCAGCTCAAGGCCTCCATATAACTATAACACACTATCATAAACCTGAAATAATTAATCAAATGAAAAGACTGCTGTCTGGGCACCAACGGAAATCTGCCTTTCAACCCCTTCATCTTTCTGGAAAGCAAACACCAGAACCTCTCCAGAATCCCATCAAACAGATGTCTTTTGTAGCATGCCTGGAAGTTCACCAAATTTGGGCTTTCTGGCCCAAAGGAGAGGGACAAATTCCAAAATTGAGGCTGCCACAAGGAGTTTACAGCCAACAATCTATTTTCTATGGAATCATCTGATTTGTTCATTTAACTCTGTTTTTCTGGTTCAGGTGTGCTGAACTTTATCATTTTCTTACATTAAAACAAACTTCAATAAGTATCAATTCTTATTACAAGACTGTTCAGAATATAAAATGACAAGCTACAATTTCTATTCATGGACTCTCTTCTGTATTTAACTATAGTATTTAGTGTAAGTGGTTCAGCACTCAATGGCATGTAGTGATGCTGCTTATTTCTCATTTACATCTTAACAACAACAGAAAAAAAATTAAAAATCCTCTACCTCCTTCAGAAGATTAGTGACTTCTTTTATATGCAAGAACTCTGGGGTCTTGTCTAAATCCAGAGAGGGCCTTCCCTTAAGACTTTCTTCAAAATCTTTGCGATATATTTTCTGTTGAAGCAAAAACAACAATTAGCAGTACATGCATGTATGCATGCATTTCCAAACATATTTCAGAAAGAACACTATAAACAGAGCTAGATAAGAGCTATGTCATTAAATATCACACTGATAAGCAACGTTGCTATTCATTTCATTATTTAGATTATCTATACAAGACACAGGCAATTTATATAAAAATACATATATGTGATATTTCGGAAGGGAATGTTTAATCTGATCCATGAAAGAAACAATTTCCCTAGTACAGAAAAGAGAAGTCAAATGCCATTAACCCACAGAGAACAAGCCTGTGTCACCTGGCTCATGATCTCCTGCCCAAACTTTCTGTCCAAAACTGTCTCTGTGTCTTCAAGGGAGGAAAGAAAAGCTGTTTCTTTAAAAAAGTTACATGCTGATCTAGATGACCCCTTGAGCCTCTTCCCATTTCTCAAAAGTTATGCCATATACAACAATGTTAGCATCTCCAGCTTTTGAAGAAAAAAAAACAAGTTTGAAGGAAGGACTGAGTTATAGAAAGGAGTTTATAAAACTTCCATGATCATTTCATCTATTTTCTTAACTTGTGTGTTAGATGTTCGTTAGCCTCTCTACTGATCTAAATTTTGGACATTAAACACACATCTTACTAACCTCACTTTGCATCTTTTGAACATCCTTTGAAACTTGGTACATCGGTGTATCCACAAACTCAAGCATTGATTTGCCTTTAGATTTCTCATAATTCTCTCTGTACTTGACCTGGAAAATTGAAAATAAATACTGTTAGCAGCTGAGAGAACGTGAGATCTGATTGCTTGCTACAAGAGATACCCTAGAGATATTTGACATAGAAGCCTCTTACCAAACTAAATCTGCTGGGGAAACAAGGCAGCTAGATAAGGAAATTTTTTCTGGAATCATGTATTCCTTTGCTTCCATATGTCAAACTGAAAAATGATGAAGCTTGACAACAGCAGGAGAAAAGAGAATCAACCACCTTTAAATAATTGCATGATTTTTGCTGAGTGACCTATGGCTGAAAACTTGATAAGCTCGGCAGTACGATCCCACCATGTTTCGGTGGAACAACACAATTACTCTAATCACAGCCACCACAGGTCTGTCTCTCACGCTCCAAAGTATCATTCTGAAACACTCTCATTTGCACTGGAGGGAGGGAAAAAGGAAGCAGAACTGTGGCCTCAGTAAGGTCTAGTCTTGCATGGACATTCCTCTCACAGCTACCAATAGCCATGACCTTAGAGCTAGCAGCAAAATCATATTTAAGCACACATGGCTAAGACACTAACATGCAACTTTATGCTACCTTGTGAAGCAGAGACACTTTGCTTAAAGGAAAAACTCCTAAACTATTAATTTAAATATCTTTTATTAAGATGGCACATGTGACTATGGCCAAACACTTTATTTGTCTCCATTGGTGTGTGATACAGTAGTATATTCTAACAAGGAAAAAAATAGCTATACATCAAAATATGATATTCAGAATGATTAATGTTATTTTATTTTGTCTCTTCCAAAATACTGATCTCTGAGTTTGAGAAAACTGTTCAGAATCTCTTCCATTCTCAGACTTCTGATTTGACACTAGATTTGAATCCTGTAACTTTCTGTGTGTGTGCTTCTGATTGACTATGCATTGTACATCACTGCAATTTGTAATGCAGCTTCGTGCCTGATTTAATCATTTTTAGAATGCTGAATTTTTCTCTTTCCAACATTTATGTACGATTGTGTATACCTGACTTTGAAAGCACTGCATTTTCTTTGTGATAGATCTGCTAAGCTGTATCCAGGGTGAGGTTACAGCTTTTGTTTTGCTTAAATCTTTCTTATATACACATGGAAACAAACAAACAAAAAAAAAAAAATCCAAAAACATTATTTAAAAAAAAAAAAAAGGTTTACAATTTAAATACCAAGTAAGTTTTTTCACCTTCCACATCAGAAGCTCTCCTGCTAACTTTGAATTTAAAATATGTTTTCTCAAAAAAAAAAATAAGTAAAAAAATATAAAAAAAATTGACAGTGATGAAACAAAGAAAGGATATAATAAAAACAATTTTTTCTAAGTTCCTAAAGAAAATGCTTGTCCTCTTTATTTTAGCTAGAAAATAACCATTATTTTTTACATTTTAAAGTGCCAGGGATATGACGGTCTGTGTTTGCCTCCTACTGGAAATAATTATAAATGTCAAAAACAAAACTGCTTCTGTAGGTAGAAAAAAAAATGAAAATTGCCTCCACCTACAGATACTGACTTCACACCTTTATTCTATTCCTCAATTAATTGAACTAATTTTTAAAAATCTATAAAATCAAATGAAGGAAATTGCACAACTTTTTGGTACACTGAACTAAAGACACCAGATTTGGATTCTGAAATCTATTTAGTCACTCTGCTTCAGAAAATTCAACACACCTAAGTTCAATTATTTAGGCTGTAGTTCATCACCTCAAGGTTTCTACAACATGGAAAAAAATTAAAGGTAAAAAACAATAAGCTAGCTGTAGTTACATCAAAGTTTTTACTGATGTATCTCCATAGTTTATGTCAAAGAAAACTACATGTATACCACGTGAGGGAAAAGTCCCTCCTAGTGAACTCTCTTTCTCACCAAATTCATGCACATAATATGAGTCCAGCCTGTCAAAATCATAATGTATGTAGCTCCAAAAGTAATGCCTTTTATTTATTCATGGAAACTATAACAGGTACTAAGAGCACAATAGCACTATTGAGTAAGAAAATTATCGGCTACTAAACACTATTTTTCAACACAGCCACCACCATTAGCCATGCATTTTCACCAGCAGGGGCCTGTATGAAGTATTCAGCAAACATCAAGGAATGTTAGTGAGTGCAACTTTTTCTGCACTGAGGAATTCAATTTCATTCTGTTGCTACATACCCACCTCCATGTCAGACACCATTCTGTCAGCTCCTCTGTTGCCATCTGTCACATGGCAACAAAATCTAATGGAAAATTTTTGGGAAGGTTTTCCCTCTACTGCCATTATACCAACATCTGCCTCTGATATTGTGGGCCAACGTAAAAAAATAGGAGGCATTACTTTTAGAACAGCCCTTTCATTTGTGTTCAAATATGTCCATCTCACTTTTCTATGAATTGTTGGCATTTACTGCCATGGAAGCTGACTTGAATAATAGCTTTGCATTTGTATTCTAGTACATGTATTTCAAAAAATTACAAAGTTACACAGACTTTCTTTTATATTCTATGTCAATCAGCAAATTAGTTCAATTAACCATATTGATTTATCAGTTCAATTAATTATACAACTTACAACATATCACACCATGGTAGATGTGGCTATGTTAAGCAAAAGATGAAAAGAAGAATAATGTTCAGGGAAGAAAGGAAAAAGCAAATCTGGATAATTAGTAAGAAGCTCTGTGTTTCATACTATTGGTCAGAAGTAAAAGCTGACCATGCAACGAGTCTTTGGAAATCAGTGAATGACACAGACTCTTTCACACAGTGGAAGAGAGTTCAACAAAGATTCGGTATGTGCTATTGAGAGACAGGGAGAACACAAAGAAGGTATTCGAGTAGCATGGAGAAAGGCAGGAGAGAAAGCCACAGTAAAATCAAAGAGATGACAGAGGGAGGTCAAATCTGAGAAAGATTTCGAAAATGGGATTTCTGTGGAAGACAAATAACTAGTGGAGACCCTAAGAATTGACAAAGCATTCTTCTTCCTGCTCATAGCAAGAAAAAACATCCACCAGCATCTGGACAACACAAAAATCAGAGGCACGGTATTTAAGGAGTCATTAGAAAAGGGCATACACTATATAAACCATCAGTCAAATAAATAAATACATTTTGCAAGAAGTAAGCAGTCTTACTTCTTGCAAAGGAAAGTCCTGGATTCTACCTCATTACAGATGACAACTTGACAATATTCACTCTGGGGATATTCATTTAATCAGTAAAAAAAATGCGAATCTTACATGACACTGAAGGAAAGTAGAATCAGGCCAAAATGCAAAGAAGTATACAGAAAGTGTAAATTGTGAACATATTCATAATCCATATTAAAAAAAAAAAAAAGGACAGTATTAGCTTCACAGGTTAGAGTGACACAGACAAAAAGCAATTCACTAAAGAGAAACATGAAAATCAAGTACAGATGAGAAGGCTGAATTATTTTGATTATTTTAGACGGTAAGCTTCAAGCAGGCACTGACTCAGAAGTCAGTATGCTACTACTGTTTATTAAGGCTGACCCTTTCCCTCTGAAGCTCTCACCTCCTGCCAACAGTGAATAATCCTCCTTCCCAACACCACCCACTCACCCATCTCCACAGAAGTGCTGTTGTTTCTGGAATGAAAAAGACAAATGCAGCTTATCAGCCTCCAAGCACCACACATGTAGCCCAGGTGCTCTTGGAGTGGAAGAGAAGCTTCAGCACTGCACAGAGGTCATGAGTTTCCTGCGTCTTCCTCCTCCCTATTTCATGAGACCCCATTTGGAGCACTGCATTTGAGCCTGGGGTCCCCCGCACAAGAAAGACATGGAGCTATTGGAGTGGGTCCAGAGGAGGGCCACTAAGATGATCAGAAATCTGGAGCTCCCTATAAGGGAGATGGGGTTCTTCAGCATGGAGAAGAGAAGGTCTTCGGATGCCTCACTGTGGACTTCTAGTACCTAAACAGGGCCTACAGGAAAGTTGGAGAGGGAGTACTTATCAGGAAGTGTAGTGATAGGACAAGGGGGGATGGCTTTACATTGAAAGAGCAGATTTAGGTTAAATGTTAGGAGTAAATTCTTTACTTGGAGGGTGGTGAAGCCCTGGCACAGGCTGCCTGGAGAAGTTGTGGGAACCCTATCCCTGAAGATGTTCAAGGCCAGGTTGGATGGTGCCCTGGGCAGCCTGATCTATAGGTGGTAAACCTGCCCATGGCAGGGGATTGGAATTAGATGGTCTTTAAGCTCTCTTCATACTCAAGCTGTTCTATGATTCTGTGATTCTATTTCAACCACACCATCTATATCCCAGCACCAGCCCCACAGAGGGGCACTGCCTTGTTATATAGCAGGATGGAGTTTTGTGGTTATTACTAGATCCAGTGCAGGAAGCTTCAGACTTTTAGGAGGAAAAAAAAAGGCTTAAACAGAGAAGCTCTGAGGAAGCTAACACTTAACAGGCTGCTTATGGCAAAGCTCCAAATATAAAACTAACATAATGGCCAATTCTGTAATGACAGCTGCAGATGAAGGCAATGTTAAGATCTTAGACAAGATAAGATTTGCACTGAAAGAAATATCTTAGATCAACAAAGAAAAAAATGTGGAATATTTTAGACATGTAAGAAGAAATACTCAAGTAACAGAAGTCTGTGTGATTCTTAACCAGTATTCTAGTTGTTTTTATAAAAGAGTCTCTCTCCATAAAAGTTCTTTCTTTACTTACATCCCTCAGCTACTACGGTTACAACACTACAAATCATTATATATGAAATCATGATGCTAATGGCAAAAAAAATGTGTATTTTACAAATACCAGATTCCTTGATATATACATATACTTTTTTTTTTTTTTTCAGATCATCATTTTAAAGGCAACTTACATCACTGTGCATTTTGCTGATATTCAAAGCATGGTTTAAATACAGCAGATTTGGTAGATTAGAGGCTGGATCATGCAGACTTTCCTTGTAATCTTTCTTGTAATTCACCTGCAGAAAGAATTCAGGTTAGGTAAAATAAAGATTAACAACATAATTAACAGCTAAAACTGCAGTGAGTCTGCCCAGAAACATAAGGCATTAAGCACTTGCCTGAGCAATCTATGTCAGACACTAGATGGTGCTCGTTTACTATTATTTTGGGAACTAAGAAAAAAATCAATAATGGATTCATTCCACTTGGGAACTACTCAAAACTTTTTCTAAAAATAAAATAAAATAAAATAAAATCACAAAATCATGCTTTGCATGATGTTTCAGACTACATAAGAATTATTGTTGTTTATTCAAAACAATTCTGCAGAAAAGTTATAAACTGTGCATTTTCTTCAGTGCTTTTTTGTTTATTAATTTTCAATGTTGCTGCATACTGTTTTCTCTCTCCCGATTCAAATATTATACTAACTACCCAAATTACAAAAATCTACATACAACAAATAAAGGGCAATGCTCCAGGATATTTTATTTAATACATATTTTTTTCAGCAAAGATAAGAAATATAATCATCTATGGTGAAAGTTAATCACTTAATGAAGTAGCAGAAGATAACATCCTGTCAGCCTATAGTAAGATTTTCCATACTTTTGATAGGTGGACACCCATCTTTACAGGAAGAACAATATCCAGTTTAGCTGTCTTAGACAATAAAACTCTTAAGCCAATACCTTCAGTCACCTTCACACATATATCATGCTCTTCGCTGAGTAGACAACTTTCAAATCAACAATACTGAATTTACATATATTTTATGATAATAAGTACTCTAACAATTTTTTTTTATTTTTTTTTTTTTTTACTAAACATTTAGATTTTGGAAACAATTATTCTTTTGAACCCTTTCTAAAGGCAGCCTCTCCTGTTTCCTTTGAGTGGTGCCCCACACTTTGGAAACAACGTGCTAAAGAAGTAAAGGCTGTCTTTAGGCTTTAGGGGATCATGCCCTCAAAGAAGAGCTCACATTCTCAGCATTGAACACACTGTTAAATATATCATCCTGTTACCATTATATCTTGATAAAGATGTTTTCTCCAATCTGACTTCAGCAGCAGCACTCATACAGAATCTTAAAAATAGTTATTCTAAATAAAGATCAGAAGATCAACGGATACAATGAAATCTAAGAGAGAGACGTGCACATCTAAGTGACTCGCTAACTCCCTCTTACACCCTCTGGCAAGAAGGTGGTAATTTTCTCCTTCTAAAGACTGGTCAGATGGTTTTCCCTCTACACCGGTGTTCGCCTTTCCTCAACACAACGGAACTGAGTACATTAGCTTAGAGTGAAACATGAAATTAACTCAATAAAGTGAGCTGAATCCCATTAAAAACTCTGCAGAGACTTGGAGAAGGGTTTTGTAAGAAACAGAGGAACAAACAGATAATATGCTGTATCTACTATACAGACACATTTGACAGAAGAAACTTAAGTTCACATTAGTAACTTGTAAAATGGAAACTTCTGCTTGAGAACAAATGGTAGATTTTGCAGGATGTAAATATACACAAAATACAAAGCAAATTCACTTACATCACTTGCCAAGGTCGATGCAATTTGTGCTTGCTTGAAGGAAGCACTGTCAAGAGGATTGTACTGGTGGCTCTTCATTTCTTTTTTGAACTGCTCTTTGTATTTCACCTTCCACCGAGAAAAGAAAAAATAAAAGTGTTTGATAATAACATGTAGTACTTAAACAAGACAAAGAATTATTAAACACAATTGCCTTGTCCATCAATCCTTAAATACTCAAGATATTTAAAGAAGTTCAGTGTAGCCATACCTCTAACTGACCCGTGCTAGTTTCAAGTAAGTTTCATATATCTGAGTTTTACTGAAATTTAAAAAAAAAAATTAAAAAGATTGTCATTTGTGATCATTGGTGCTGAAGGATTTACAAAGGGAAAGAGAAAAGAAACCATATGTCCTGGATAATCAAATAAACCAGAACTGCTTGACTAGCAATAGTAATGTAATTACCGAGAATCATTCAATTTATAATTAACATCAAAAATGAATTCTTAACATAAAAGTTTTAAGAAATTGTTACACTTGTGAAATAAATCATTTGTTGCAAATTTTTCAACCATTTCAAGCTGCTGAAAACAAAATGTAGGAAGTCAGAATCAAACTTCCCACTTGACTACCTTCCCACCACCAGGTATATGTATCACCAGCAGTATGCCAACTTGTCACCAGAGCCCCGATTTCAACTTCCCACATTCTGTCCAAAACTTCTCGCAAGAGCCCCAGGAATCTCTCTGTAATACAGTCCTTTCTAGGGAGAATGCCCACCTCGTTACAGTGTTAGAAAGCATAATCAAATGACTGCTTGGTACCACTCCCACTCTCTTCACTTTTTGTTAAAAGGAAAATGGGGAACGATAAGACATGGAAGGGGAGATGAGCAATGTATAACCGTTGAGATAATGGCAGTAAATAAAATACAACAATTACACAAAACGTTTAGAAAAAATGAATTTGCAGTCAGAAAAAAATGAAATTGAACAAACAGTCATTTTCCTCCCTTGTTGTGCATTTTCATCAAACATCTGGAGCTTGCACACATGCTTTCCTGCTTTCTAACAGCTGGGTACAATGGAGGATAAAAAGTTGGCTCTGAATTATGCTGCTTTCATGAATGTTAGTCTGACACTTGATATTTGAGGCTATGCAACATCTATTATAATTTGCCACGCTCTGCTTATGTAGTTCTTTCCTTATTCCCTTTTTCTCCATTCCCACATGAATATCTGATAAAGAGGCTAAACCACCTTAAACAATCTCCTTCAAAAATTACTTTTTTCTCAGCTTTAGTTGTGGCTAAAATTTTCTGTTTCCTTTTCAACTCTTCCTTCACTCAAAAAAGTCTCAACATGGTTTAGCTTAATGTATTTTCATTCCATTTAGCCACAGTGCCTGATATTTCATTAATCAGGATAACAAGAAACCAAAACAAAACCTGCCAAACAGATATTAGCCTATCTGTTCAAGAACACATTGTGATTCCAATACTTACATTCATTTGTGAAAAGAAAGGAAATTCTAAAACATTTTAGCTTTTAAAGAGAAATTTTATCTGAACGCAGGATGAACTTCATTCATAATCTTTCACACTACCTCTAGAAAGGAATATCTATGGCTTTCTGGTAGATTCATCTGGTTTACATTGTTCAATATTTGCCTTGGCTTCGGATCAATTGCAAAAGCAAATATCTGAATATAAAGATCCTGTCTTTGTCAAAGGCAAATCCATACTCTGTATATGAACCAAAGGACTAAATTGGAGTGCTTTTTCTCTTTTCAGTGGTGTATCCAGAACTCACCTCCTAATAAAAATCAGACAGTGCTAGAATATCTGACTCAGAAAGCCTCTGAAAACAGGGATCAAGTCAGTACGATGAGCACAACTCCCTTTTACCCCATACACATAATAAGGACATTGTGCCCAAGAGTTAAACCATCCATTACCTAAGGCTGTTTTTGCCCCAGTCAGCAAACAGCCTCATACTGTGCATGTGGCCTAAATGCACAACGTGGTCCTTGGTACACTTGTTAAGTGTGAAAAACACAGTGCCAAAGGGACCTCTCCTCACATCTGGCCTGCACTCTTCCAGCTGCAACTATTTCATGTCATTCTTCTAATATAAATATATATTTTAACAACACGCATCAATGTCGAGATATCAGCAGTGAATCCTTGTGTCACATCAGATCATATCATTGCTACAGAAAGAAGGAGGGATAGCCAATGCACCCTAGACCATGTATCTTGGTGCCAATGCGCAGAAGGCTCCCTGATGTAAGGAGAATGCCAACCCATCCAGCCACAGTGTGCTTCTATCAGTGAAGGCTGTTCCAGTACCTCCCAGTCCTGCTGCCTTGTCTGGCTGCACTGCTTATTACCTTTGCTCCCCTCTCCAACACCACCGCACATGTCGCTCTGGGACAAAATGGAGGCAGCACAATAATATCAGATGACCCTGACAGTATCTCAAGAGCACTTCCAGCAGTAATTTAACCCTGACTTGTCATAGGGGATTCATCTCATTGAAAGCTACAGACACACATTCCATTCTTTTTTTTTTTTTCTTTTTTTTTTCTTTTAAATTGGCATTTTCTTATTTCCCTCTTCCTTTTGAAAGAATTCATGGGGCGGGGGAGACGTGGGAGAAGGGAGAGGGAGGAGAGAGAAACGATGAGTAAGTGCGAGGGAAGCAGCAGCATGCATGGTGTTTTAGCTTCATTTTGAACAGGAGAAAGTTATGAATGCAGTTTAGAGGGAAAAAACATGCCTGAGGAAAGGGTTCCAATTAAAAAGAAGGAAGAAAAACACTTCGTCAGTGATTTCTAAAACATCTATAGGGGGGTTCTGACCAACTTCGTAACCTGGTGAAACAGCAAATAAAAATGTGGGAGTAGAAATGACAGTTGTTTGTGGAACCTTATCTACAAATTTCATCATTAAGCAAAAGTTTACTTTAATGAGGGTTTAAAACAATAGTTGCTTACTGATCACCTTAATTAAAGCCTTGAGCTTGTTTCTTTTTTTTCTTTTTTTTTTTTTAGCAGGGGTTAATTTAAAAGAAATGTGTGGAAGCTGCTTTCTAATCACTGCTAAAGAATGAACAGATTTTGCAGGCTTTCAGCACAACAACATGCCTGAAGAGCCCAACTGGAATTAAATAAAGCCTGGATAAACAAACTTCTCATTGGCCTTGCACAAAGCCTATAAAAGTCAGAACTGCAGCTGGACAGAACAGTATCTTTTGAAGTTTTGCAGCAACATTCCTAAATCAAAATCTGTAGTTCAAAGCTGTTCACACAGGGAGTGTTCAGTTTCAGAAGTGGGTGACATCACCCACTGTTCAGATTTACAAAGAAACTACAAAAAATTGAATCATTCAATCACTGGGATCCCAGGATGAAGCAGACACTTGCAGCTAAAGCATTTCCTCATGACCATATGAAAGCGTATTTTAAAAAAATAAAAAACTTGTAAAGGACATAGAGATTGAAGGAAATGTGATGTAAATAAAGAGCTGAATTAAAATAGTGGTGGCTAAAATCTTTAGCAGAACTTAATGCAAAGAAAAACAGAAAATCCTAGTTCACTGATAATCTCAGAGAAAATATTTCATGGGGGAAAAGAAAAATCTACCTCTAACACTTTCATCCTTGAAACAATGCACCAGAATGAATATAAATATGAATATTCCAAATTATTTATCATAAAACCAATATTAAGCAACAACAAGGGGAAAGCTTCATATCAACAGCTCTTTGAAAAATCTCATCAAGTGATGAGATGACATAAAGAAGATATAAGGAAGAGTTTGATTTAAAAAGAAACGCAAAAAACAACCCAAATTGTACTATGTACATTCTGCAAACTGACAAGCTTCATGTTTTCACAAAGACTAACACAGCTTCTGTTTCAAATTTGGTTTCAAATCAACAGAAAGAAGTTATATTATGCTGAGGGTAAATATTCTAGTCCTAGGCTGCTGCTGTTATCAAGACTTTGGTTGTTTGGTTTTATTTTTTGTTTGTTTGTTTTTAAAGAGAAAGAGAAAGTACACTGATTTGGTACAGCCTTGAGTACCAGTCAAACATTAACACGATTTTCTTCACTTTGCCTTCTTCATTGCATTGATTGCTTTCTCCCTTTGTTACACCCACACTGCCTGACCTCTTCATGCTCCTGTTCTCTATACTCCCTAAATTACCTACCCATATGCATCACATTAAAACATGTTATCATCTTTTCTTCCTATTACATCCATCAGAATAGTCAACTTTGCTAATTTACTGTGAGGGTCAAATAACTAATATTTTTCTGCATGTCATAGCTTATAGATTTGTGCTATTAAGGGAGATTATCAACTTTCTACACAAAAAGTTTCTAGAGCTCCTATTTGCTGAGAAGGAAATTAAAACCCTAAAACCCAGAAAGTCTGGAGACAATAAAGAGATCATTAACTTCACTATTTTAAAATCTTATAATTGTTACAAGCCTGTTTCATGATCCCTACATAAAGAGGACTGACGAAGCTGACATACATTTAGTGCACTTCCTCTCCTACAGCACAGGTGCATTCTTCATCCTGACCCATCACCCTGCTTCTTGGACACAGGGGTCATCATAATTTTTCTGTGGTTATGCAGGATGCTCTTGATTTACAACCAGTGTGTCTAAGTGTTATAATGATTCAAACAATATATAAAAACATTAGACAACTCATGGTCACTGCCTTTCCTTCAGAGGAGGTGGGGAATTGCTGAATGCACCTCTCTGCTGCTGGAAGCAGCTTAATACTTACAGCTTCCATGCTGCACTACACAGATGGATGGCAGCAGAGTGTCAGGCTGAAGCCCAATCATTTTTATACATGCCCAGCCACATTTTTAATAGTATGTGGCCTATCTCACATATTGAAAGCAGCCTCATCGGATAGTTGATTAGAAAGTCCCTTCCAGCTGAACTACTCCATCAATAGAAGACTGAGGGGAGGACAAAAGATGAAAAGATGCCAAAACTGGGATCCAGGCCCTGTCTCTGTGTTTGACCACTAAGACAAATAAGAATTATTTTTACAAACAAACTGCAAGCTCATGGTATCGACTGCTCTCTCCTCTTCTTGACACACCCTCAGCACAAGTTAAAATTGTCACCAAATAATTCCTCCTGCAGAAGAATCTCAACTATAAGTGGTGCCATCCCTGTCCCTGGATGTGAAGAGATCGTATGATAAAGCTACTTCTTTGGCAGAAACAGCATTCAGTGTCCAGGAGAAAATGCACTTCTATCAGAAATGAGATAAAACACACATTCATTAAGAATGTGATGCAACTGGCACAGCACTAGCCTTCAGGAAACCAGAATCCAGGTGGGGTTTTTTTCGTTATTTCTATTGCTGATTAAAAACTCTGGTACCAAGCATAGTGAGATAGCAGAGCTATTGGAAAGGGACCTGCAATGGTTCCCTTTGTGACAATAGGCAGCTGCAACCCCACTACATTCTGAAACAAGTTGTAATGGAATGTGTGGCCCGCCATTAGGTGGAAATAACAGATGTCACACACTAAATTTAGAGATGAACTCTTTTAAAAAACCGCCAAGACAAGCACCTGCCTTCCCTAGAAGGGACACCAAATTCTGAACAGATAGCACAGCACTGGCTCTTCCTAGAAAGCGCAGGTTGACTTCCCAGTTTGCATGATACCAAAAACAAAAGACCACTTGAAAGTTAATGATCATTCAGTGAAACAAGAAGTCATGCAATAGATATCTAAGGGCAATGTCTGTTGGCATCAAAAGAAGCTCAGTCCCTTGTAGACAGACACTACACTGTTCTGCAGCTTGTTCTCTATGACATATTATTCTCATTTTATTCTAGTTCTAAAGACTTTCGCCATCTTGCCAAATCATAAGGAGCTGTTATACAACGCTGATCTGCAGACTATTCTAGTCCACTCAAGTTGTTTGCTTTTATTCCTATCTGTGGGAAGACTGACATGGCCTTCTCCAATCAAAGGGGGTAATCCTCCTCACACAGGAGGGTAGAATTTGTTCCTTGGTTTAAAACAGCACTGAGTGTAGCCTGGCAGGGTTATTAGCAAGGATTATGCAAGGTACTGTTAAAATTTAAATTAAAAATAAAAAGCAGGTCAGCTTCTTCTCATAATGTGAAGTTGATCTGTAGTAGTAGAAGAGCCACAAGAGGAAAAGAGAATATTTATGTTCCAGCTTTTTTTCAGTTTTGGATAAAAATGACTTCTCCATTTTTCTTTTTTTTCTTTTTTTCTTTTTTTTCTTTTTTTTCTTTTTTTTTTTTTTTTTTTGGAGGTTAATATATAACAGAAAGTAGTACATAAAAGCTTCAGTTTCAGGGGGAGGAAAGGCAGGCGGTTTACATGTCAGGCCAAATTCAGATCCCATTACTCACATTAGCAGGAGGTTACACAAAAGACCACAGTTACTTCAGTGGGATTAATCACAGAGTAAAGTTCTATTCAAACTGAGTGAGTAGCAATATTTGCCACTAAATTACATACAGTTAATATTTTAGAAACCCTAGATAATACGTATAAATATACATCACTTCCACCAAAGAAGAGTTGTAAGAGTCAAAATTCATTGCATTTTTGCATTAAAATGTATATTCTGCTTCCTAGGAGTCTTAAATTTACCAGCCATTGCAATACCATATGAAAAGGGTTTGAGAACATAATCTTCATGCAATTAGAGATAATCATCTAAAAATCTAAATATTTTCTTGAATTACTAGGAATGAGATATCTGAATGAAGTCATTGTAAAATGACAGAAAATCTTACTTGGCTTAGAAGTTTAGAAACTCCTTTAGCATGTTCAAAATCTGGTCTTCCAAGTACAGCGGGTTCCTTGTTCATCTCTCCCCTTCCTTTCTTGTACTCAGCCTTAAACAAATCAAGAAAATGAATATGAATCACTATTACATTGTTTGGACACTTTTTTTTTTTAAAGAAATGTAAGATTTAAACCTAAGTAATACTCTAGTCAGTTCAGAAAAACAGCTCTTCTCATGCTTCACCTCATTAAAAACATAACATTTATTTATTGTAAAACACAATGCACAGCATTCATAAAATTCAACTTTAACGAAATGCATGAGTTAAGCCTGAGAAATGCACTTCTCCCACTGCTCCCAATCAGGGCAGAATGAGTTACAGTGGTTCAGCACTTCTTAAGGCATGGTCTGCAGTTTACACAGATTATTTGTAGCAGTTGAAAATAGCTTTGAAACAAAACTAGGCTGAGGGGCAGCTTTTTTGAAATACAGGTCAAATTCCACTCTCAGTTTTACCACTGCAGTCTCACTGGATGTCAGTAAGGTTGCACTGGTGTAACAGGGAGGAATTAGTCCCACAGTGTTGGTGTTATCTGATCTTTCGAGCTGAATGACTGCCTATGTAAATTGCTGTTTTGTTTTGTTTTTTCAAAATGCATTAGAAAATAGTAGAGATAAATTCACAGTAGGTGCTTTGAAATATAACAAACTAAATTGCTATTGCCTAAAATAGGTTTCTTACAATACTCACACTCTGTGAATCAGCAAGGAGTCATCTTAACAACAGAGAAAAGATCCAAAGCTACTCTAAGCAAAACAGGGATTTTACAGCAATTTGTAACTGGGCATTGAACATAAGACTTACTAAGATGTTTTAGTTTTCAGAAAATGCTGTGTTCAAAGGTGAATGAATCTCATCTGTCTTAAAGCTGTACTTTCATAAGTGACAACTCTCCAAAAGAGATGCCTGATCGGCCTCACATAAAACTAATAGCAACAGTTTAAAGTCTTGGTTCAGAATTTTTTATATATATATATGTATATATATTGTTTTATATATACATTATATATATATAAACATTATATAGATACACACATATATATTTATAGAGTTTATATGCTTTTATATAGTCTATAATAACAAGTTAAATAGCATCACACATAACTGCTTCTGCTCCTTGCCCAATCCACTAGCAGATGTCACAGTGGAAGGAACAAGAATTTGAGCGCAGAGCTCAGGGATGGGAGCTGCATGGAGGAGGGTGCTGCTTGCCAACACAGTCTCTCCGAAGGACAATGGGAGCTTCATGTCCCTGCCACTGCTAGAGGGAGTAAGAGGAGGAAAAAGGTACTGGGAGGTACACCTCTCCCCAACTAGGCTCTCCAACATGACAGCAGATATCTAATTTTTAGAATGAATGAAACTGAAACAAAACCAACTTCACTAAATGTAACATTGTCTTTAGTCACCAGTTGTAAACGTCAGGATGTCAACATCAAAGCAAGCAATCCACAACTTTGTAACATTCCAGGCAAGTTATTTCCCCCCTTCCAATGCTTCCTGTCAGATTTGGAGTGGCATGTTTTCTGCTCTTGCTTGGAAATATGAGAATTTCAGAAGCATTCTGAATGATTTGACTGAAATTGGAATAATAATGTCTGAAAAAGTACAGATAGACTATCAGAAGCACATACATCGCTTATTATCTTCGTTATCTCTGTTGCCATCTTTATGTCTGGCCTGTTCAGCACTTCAGTGTATCTGTGAGTATCTTGCACATCCCTCTTATAGGACACCTGTCAAGAAAAACAAAACAAAACAAAACAAAAAAACAGGAGAAACAGTTTTGATTAAAACAAACAAAAAAAGTTTCAAGTTTATAAATCATCTTTGAATGACCTATCAGCTCAGCAGTCAAATTCAGTGAAACTCCACCTAATTTATGCCAACACAGTCCTGCTTGACAGAGTTTATTTAGTAAGACCTACACACAGGATAACAGGCTGAGAAAGAAATTCAGAAGCATAAAATACCATATTAAAATGAAAAATGGTTTCACTTGGAAGCATAGTAGAAAATGAAAGTGCTGAAAAGACCCAAATATTAGGTTTTATCATTAAATTTCAGGGGAATTGCAGGAGGACAGTTTTTTGTTCGGGTGTTTTTTTTCTGCGCTGTACGCTTTTCTTTTAATATAAATGAATGCCTCCAGGATATGTAGCCTAGCAGATTGCAGCCACACTGATGAGAGCCTGTAACTGTACCACGGTGAACCGCCCTCTCAGCAACAGCCAGTCATGAGGCTGGGCTGTAATTAAATGACACAACCCCACCACAGCACGCTGTTATTCCCTGCAACTCCACTTATCCTCTACTTTACACAATCATGGGAACAAGAAGGCTGAGTGTTCCAGCATGTGCAGCACACAAGACTGGATCTTTCTATTTGTGCAGAAGTCACTACAATAATGAATGGGCTCAGAAGACTGGCCGGAAACCACAGATAGGAGAGTCCAAGCACTCACTATTTAGCAAAGCAATTGCAGAAGCAGTCTAGATCTCAGAGGTGCTCCAAAGCTCACAGACCACAAGCTATCCTTTTCCTAACTCCAGCCCATAGATTTTTTCCTCTTCCTTGTTTTATAGCGTGTGTCAATCCTAGTCAATTTCCAAGAGCTGTCTCACTGAATTATTCTGAATGATTAAGAATATCATCTCTGGTATTCAAAAGTGTCTGTCAAGTTGAAGTTCCATGCAGAAGTCAGAGGTCATAAAGCCCTCATGAGATATTAAGTATCAAAATAATTCCTGTTCTACCGGACAGCTGTATATTTTCTTTTTGTACTGTTTAACAGTGGTAACTGACCTCTCAAAGTTGTATTTCACCATTAAAAAGTCACAGAATTGCAGAGGCTGGAAGGGATCTCCAGAGATCATGGAGTCCAAGCCCAGGTTGCACAGGTAGGCATCCAGATTGATTATCTCCAGAGAAGGATAATCCACAACATCCTTGAGCAGCTCCATCATCCTTACTGTGAAGGAAGTCCTGAAAGGTTCACTCAGTTGAAGCTTTATGTACTATAACCAGTATATCCACCTCCTGTTTCCAGTGCACAGTTTTAGTATAGCCACAACGCAACAAATTCACCTATAAGTCTAGCAATCATCAAGAGCAGCACCAAGTGACAAATCTGTAGAAATGTCATGTAAAAATTAAAAAAAAAAAAAAAAAAAAAAAAAAAAAAAAAACCATCCAAGAACAATGAAAAAAAAAACCTTACTTTTTGGCATATATTTTATAGGCAACAGGAAAGTAATATTGCAACCATATGGCCTCAACTAAGTAGACAACCTAAATAGACATCAAACTGTTGGCTGTTTGCCCACAAGTAGATTTTATGATTTTTTAACTTACAATGATTGACACACAAGAGCAATCAATGATAACATAAATAAACAAATAAGTTGCATGAAAATAGCCCACCTATCAATAAAATAAAAACTATTTCTTCTAAGCTATTACAGCCACTGAAGTTTTATTTTGGTTAGGCTCCAGTTTCTTTTCTTTATTTATTTTTAAGAAACTAGATGCATTTGCAATTCAGGGCTTTACATGAATTTAGTTAATTATATGCTGTTCATCCTAATGACCACATGAGGTGAGGTGAAAACCACAGAAGCAGCTGAAACAGGTTTGTGAATAGCACCCTATCATCCATGTAAATTGCAAATTAAAGACCAGCATATGTGCTCAAAATAGAAATTAGGAATGGAGTGAATTTAACAACAGAGAATTGAGAACAGCAGTGATAAAGTTGAGGAAATGTGGTCAGTTACTGCTTCCAAATGACATGATCATGCAGTACATGAAATAATAGATTGTGGTTAATTTCAGTGGGAGAAGGGGAGGAAGAAATAAGACAGTGACAGTCCTTTGTTTTTCGCCATTTTCAATTATATTAGATGCAAGGCCAATTGCTATAGCTCCCTGCATGTGAATTATTATTCTTCCTGCACCTAAACCAGTGTACCTATTACTTATGTCTCAGGGAAAGTCATCTAACATTTTACAAATGTCTGCAATATGTATTTGCTCCATTCTGCAGCTTGTCATACTCCAGTGAGAATAAAAATGTTATGCAGCAGAACAGTAGTTTGTCAGAGGTAGGCCAAAGAAAGAAAAAATATGTTTCCCATTTCCTGAATAACCTCAGTCCCTGGATGCTGACCCTTTCCCATTGGGACAGTGTGCTGGCCTCTATTACACAGCTGCTATTCTGTTCCATCTAGTGATTTTTTTTATAGTGCTACAATAGAACAGTAAAAGGAAAGCTATTCTGTGAGAGCAGGGGAACAGATGTAGAAAGGGCAAAGCCACCAGCACAGTGCATGCACACACAGGCACCAAGAAGGTGGAAGGTAGAGAAGAGAAAAAGTAGCCTGGTCAAGTAAAGAATAAATAAGGGAAAGCACCCGGAAAGGAAAGAGCAGAAACGCACATGGAAGGTCTTTTCTCCAGATTTTGTTCAGCCCCTCAACAAGAGCTCAGGGCTCAGACCCTGACTAGCACTTCCAGGCATTGCACGGAGCCCTCACTCAATCTTCTCTTCAAAGCGGTGCTCAAGCTCTACCAAAAGACATCACTGGAGACTCAAGAAATGGTCTTTCTTGTGAGGAACACACGTCTGTGAAACATCTGCTCAAACAGGACATTATACAGGAAAAAGAAACTCAGACACTGACATCTAAGGAGCAGCAGCAAGTGATCTAAATGAAGAATTACAGAAGACCAGAGGGAAAAAAAGAACAAAAAGGAAAAAAATACAAATATCAACTAAATATAAAGTGTTTTTCTACCCCTGATTTGAAATTACTAAAGTGGTTACACTGCTGAGTATTTTTAAAGTATCCATAAAACTAATGAACAAAAGCCATTTCCATCTTTAAACCCCAGACACACTCTGAACTGCCAGTAGTTTTTGCAAAGCTGAAAAAAATATTCAGGGTTTCCATACAATGAGCAGGCCAATATAAACAGGGCCCAATCTCCAGCTTTATGAAAAGACATGAGGCCCACAGAGGATAAACAGAGATTTCACCTTTCATGATGGTACCAGGTCATTGGGATGTACTACAACGCTACACAGTAAACACATTTCAAACGAAACTACAAAAAAATCTCAAATTGTCAATTAACAAATGGAAACTTCTACTACACAGTCACCCAAGCACACCCAGGTTTAAGGGACTCAGACTTTTCTTGCACTACTTTGTCCTCCTCTATTCCAAAACTACTCCAATCTATATCTAACAAATTATTAAAATGTGCACAAGTACACATTTTGATTTCTTGAGCTTCACAGACATGGATGTCAGGAAAAAGTTGGGTACAACTATCTGCAAAATAATTTGTCTCTTACAGTTTGTCCTTGATTAGCATTTTCAGACAAATATGAGTCCACTTAGTAATGGTCTGACAGTCGTGTCTTTGCCCCCTTTTCTATCATCTGCACTTTGGGGTCCATCAACACTAAGAAAATGACTAACTGGTGACAATGGTCATTGGCAACAGCTTTTTTGATCCCCCATTTAAATAGTGTTGAAAACTGTTTCCCAGCTCACATAGAAAGACAAACACATTTATGGTCCATTACAGATTGATGCAGTCACCCTTTCCAGTAATGCGCTTGAAAATTGATTGGTCCCAATTATATCAGGAGCAAACACATCATTTTCAGCACCAGAAGTGGTCCAGAGGGACCTGTTGACAATCACTGTCTGCAGAAAGTTAGTCAGGGAAAGGTGATTTTTCTAATGCAGATGCTGAATAGAGAACCAGAGAAGCTTGAATTTAGTATAATCTATATCAAAACAAACACCAACATCTTGGTATGTTGAGGATGTTATTTAAGCACATTTGAAATCTGCTGATTTGGTCTTATTAGAAAGTATGTAAATGTATGGTTTATGACAGCACAATATCTTGAACATGGAAAAAATGCACTCCTAAGATACTATGGACTACTTAAATATTCAAATTTAGATGATTAATGGAAAAGTAAAAGTACTGATACCAAAATCATTTGGACTGGAAAGACCATACAGATATATATATATAAATATCAAACCTTTGCTCAACTGTCAAGCATCACTGTTTGGTATCAAAACTAAGAGGACAGATACAAACACTCTAACTTCAGATCTGCAAACTGTCTTTAAATGTTCATAGATGAGTCTACTGCAATTCTGCTGTTTGTAAAAAGAGATCAGCACTTACTTCTTTCATACAATGCAACGGCATGAGGAAAATTTGTGGAATTTTAACCACACAGAACATGAAAACAGCTAGAAACTCAACATTGTTTTGAAATTCATAATACTCAGTGATGGACCAGGTAAATAGAAAAAAAAGGGAATCTGTATCTTCATCAAATGCTGTGTGCAAAACCAAGTGCTTTCTTTCCTTCAGAAACCTAATTGTCACATTATTTCAGTGTTTAATTTCTTCCTTTCTTCCATCCATTTGATTCTCATTTAAGGTAATTCAGTTATGTGACCAGACCACCACTTTTTTACAGACCACAGTCTAGTTTTGGTTTCAAGTTTGGAAACTTCCAGATGAGACAAATGACATCAGCCTAGGACAGACTTAAGAGAGGCCCTAATTTACATTTCTCCAAATGCTTTTGCACACCAAAGTCACATCATTAATATTCACTTCAAAAAACAGAAACATAATTTATAGAGAAAAGTACTCCAATGTGGATAAACATGCTTTTGTAAAGTATTGTATATGTAAGCATTGTGTAGTATCTAAATTATTTTTCAATTCCCTATTATTAAAAAACTCACTTTTGTTAAAAGCAATTTTCTTCAGTGGAAGAATGAAGAGAAAAATCTTTTTTTTATACATGATCACATTGTTCAGGAGATTTTATAGTATTTCCCTATTATTCAGCTTCAACCCACACTCATACAATATTTTAACGATATTCAAAGTGGTGTGAAGGCCTAGAGCACATGACAGCTTCCAAATGTCAGCACAAATGTATTGTAAGTTGAACACAGTCTTAATTTTTAAAGGAAATTGCACATTTCACAGAGTTGAGTATAAATGTCAGCCTTGTTTTAAGCCTAAGTAAATAGTCTTAAACACATCCTAATCCTATTAGATGCAAACCCTGCATGTAAAGGTTGAATTGAGTTGGCAGACCATTGTAGGTAAACATGCATTCTGCTCCCATAGGTATACTGTACAGAGTGGTGGATAAAAAGCTTTGTCCTTCTATTCCCCCAGTAGTTTCCTTCTTTTTACACTGCACTTTCAAAGCTGTGATTCTACAAATAGTCTACGTTCTGAAAGAGAAATGCTCCACATCTGGGACACTTGCTATTCTTTACTCTGACTTAAAGATAAAAAGACACATGGCTCTGAATTAAAACTTTTACTTGCAAAGCAAGGAATCCACAACCTACATTAAGCATGGTGCTCAAATAATGACCCAATGGAGTTGTGTAAGGCTGATGAACAATAACTGAACTTACAAAACTTGCTCTTTTATGTGTGATACAGATATAGCTCCATTGCACTATAGCTCCCCATGAGCAACCAGAAATCTCTGACAGATGAAATTAACTGGTTAGATTTGGAGGTTTTGTTTGATTTTTTTTATTATTTTTTTTTAAGTTTGTTCAGGCACAAAATACCTTCTGCAGTATTTTTTCATTATTTTTAATATGCTGTTGGAAGTTCTCATTTATCAAAACATGCTTCCCTCCTGTGTTTGCCTCCATTTCCTTTTTTGCTTGCTTTAAGGATGAAAGAAGATGTAACAACTGAATTTCATTTACTGCCACATCTGTACCCTGCCCTCCTTAACTCTGTTAGCAGGTGATGTACAGCTGTAGAAGGGGAGTAGGTTTTGTGCTAGCATACTAATCCTCAGACCATGATGAATTTGACTCCAAAATTCATCTCATATTCCTCTTAGTCTCACCACCTACTCTGAGAATGATTTCCATCTCTCTTCCCAATACGATTTCCTTCCCTAGTAATCTGCAATCATTCCTAGTTAGGTAAAAAAAAAAAGTGAACTGATGAAGAGAGTTCACATTCTCAGCTTGTATCCTCTTTGAGTCTGACATCCTGATGCTTCCAACAGCAGAGATGGTCAGAGCTTGACAGGAAGAGGGAATTCTGTAATCTAGGCAGGTTGCAAATCTCTTCTGGGAGTTCCAGCTCAAGTATTTCCCAGCAGAAAAAAAAAGTTACTCTGCAAACATAATGCTTCCCTGAAGTTTTCCAGCAGCCTTTTAATCAGCGACCAGCTGTCAAGACTCTGTACACACAAACATATATCTAACACTGACATTTAACTTTCAGTCTGTATAACCTGAGTGTTTGTTACACTGTCAGTATGGAAGACAGGGTAAACTTAAGATAATTCAAAATGAACACCTTTATTTTCTATATTGTTAGCAGCAAAGAAACATCCCATTTATCTGTGAAACAAGAGAGTTGTAAAATCATCTAATTACCTGATCTGACTTTGTTATCTAAACAGAACAGTACTAGAACACAAATTAAAAGGTAAATAGGTATAAGCTGTTTATAAGGGCTTTGTGCTCCCTTTGAAATGGTTTCACTGTTCTAGACAATTTTCTCTTAAACTTTACTTTTTTCTTAAATAATCTTTTACAAAAACTAAGACTAACATACATTTTCTTCAAAGTTGTCTTTGTGTAAGTAGAGCACAGCATAAGGGATTGTGAGATCAAACCTGAATTGAAGCTAATAAAAAACACAAATAGTATTATTAGGCTCTTATATTGTAAAAAACAAAAGCACTTCAAGAAATAAACAAGCAGCAGTAAAAAAAATTAATTAATTAATTAAAAAAACAAACACTAAATAGCCAAATAATTTATTTTAAATTATTTAACTAAGTAAATGATAACAAACACTTCAGCCAGTGGCATAAACTAGTATGAAGTATCAAACTCCACTCTATGGTTCTGATTTTGTGACATCAGTCAGAAATTATTCTTTGGAACTCACTGGGGTATGTATTCATGAGACAGGAAGAAAATAATTCACGTTCATAAAAATGTGCAATAGCAGGGCAAAAATTACCCCCCCTTTCCTCCTCTTAACTGAATCATCCAAAAGTTGATAGTGTAAGACACTGCAGCTACATCACTGTTCATGCAAACTGTTTTAAAGTACAAGTATAGATTAATTTTAAAAATTCTGTAGTCTTTCTGTAATTTTACTTCGAATCCATAGCTCTTAACAGCAATAAAAATGACTATTAAGAAATGGTAATAAACACATTCCAGTGCTCTTTATCACAAATCACATAAAATCACTCATAACTTACCTTATACACACATCATGTCCCAAAATACTTCAGAGTGTATAATGAAAAAAAATTCCAATTAATGAAATATGAAAACATTCCATGCCCATTTCCTATCAGTTAGTAGGTATCCAAAACAAGTGAAACTAATTTCACTTGATGAGTTCAACTGGTGAGGTGGGGGAGTACTTACATCACTCTGGTATTTACTGACTTCCATGGCATGCTTAATATCCGGAGGTTCCTTCATATGTGCATAATTTGAAGTTCCTTTCTCAGCATCATGTTTTTGTTTATACAGAACCTGAAAAGAGCAACATCATACTTTAGTGAGCACATGTAATATTATGAGCTGAGATAAATCTAGCATTGTAGTGTGTCCCTACTCAGGAATAAATGTAATTAATTATTAAGCTCCTTAATGGAACCATAACCCTTAAACGATAGCAGCTTCTGCCCAAAAGAGAGACAGATGAGACACAGTCAGCAGGGAGATTTCTCTGAGTCTATTATTGCAGGTTTGAGTATACAGGATGAAGAAAAATAAATATGCACATACAAAAACAGAAAATTAACCTTAAAAAGATGAGAAGGCAGCCCAGGGAAAAATAAAAGTGAAAAGAAAGCCTTTTTTGTTGCTTTTTTATCCTCAAAATATACTTGAATCTATCTGCTAAATAAGTATAAACTCAGCATTTCTTTTTCTGTATTTATTTGTGCATACCTTGTAACTGAAAAGATTTACATGAAATACTTATAGCCCAAGCATGAATTTCATGCACTGTTAGGAAATTACTAGCATAATATACATTTGGACTAGCCCCAGGTTAACAAAAAAAATAATATTTATATTCTATTGTCATCACGAAAAAGAAAAATGGAATTGGATTGTGAGTTTAAAAACAAATTTATTTTTACAGTTGAAACAGCTCAATGTTGGGTGTCCATCCAGCTTTCACTGTAGTGTACTCCACTTACATATGTACACACTCACGTACTGAAACTGCCTGAAAAGCTGATCTTGCACTTACCCTTGTCGTAAGCTTTCAGGCTTACATTAAGAAAATTCACCAGGTTTTGATGCCTGAAGAAGCAGCAAGGAGCAAGTAAATTCATTTTCTAATAGGTCTCAGGAGCAAGCATTAAAATAATCCCCAAGAAAACAGCAATTACTAAATAAGATAGAAAGCTGATCAGGAGGAGAAGGATTTGAAACTAAAACCCTACTATATGAACAAAAGCATCAAATTAGGAAACATAAAATATACCATCTCTATATAGCATAAATCCAACATGATCGTGTCTCTGGGGAAACACACACAACTTAAACTGATACAGAAAAAAAAGTTTATAAGCTCCCTGTAAGGATTACATTTTGCATCTGGCAAAGCAAATGATCTTCAATAAGATAGAAATATTGCAAATATATCATTATCAGTGGCAAAAGAGTAATTACTACACAAACACGCCACAAAAATGCTTCTTCTACTTCCCTTGTTTCACACTGTCTCTTTTAAGATATTTCCCATTCTAAGAAGCTGACCCAAATGTTATTTTTTTCCAAAAGCCCATAATTTATAGATATTGTATTAAACTGTTACTTAGCCACTTTAACATCAACAATTTAATGTTGGCATATGAGCGATGTAGTCAAGATGTTAAAAATCAAAAGCAATCAACTCCCAGCATGAGAAAATTAACAGAAACTACAATCAAGTGTCCACTGACTTGGGATAGTAATACTTTCTTTAGCTTATAGTAGGAATACCTGAGCTGCTATATTATAGTCCCATTCTTTTTAATCTTTTCACATTAATCTTACTGGCCTATGCAACCTTGAAAGAATCGCAGTTACATAGCTGCCTAGTTGAGCCTTGGACAGGTAAACAGAATATTCCCAGGTTTGTAAATCAGTTCAACACAAACATTTAAAAACGTTTATAAGGATTATTTCATCAGTATTCTTACAACTATTGTTTTATACATTACTATTTATTTCATGCTGAATTTCCAAACTTTAGTAAAATGAAATTTTACTTATTTAATATACAAAAACTGCTGCGAATTTATGATGTTTGCCTACAGTGACAGAGGTGGATATTGGTGGTATGGCAGTAGAAGCTGCACATTCCCACCAATACCCCATCACATTTTGTTCCGTGAGACAGATGGCAGCAGACAAAGCAGTCCGACAAAGTGGCATCCAACATGTGAGCACATATGAAGCGAAGGTGTGTAGCTGAAATATTACATTGAGAAAAATTGCACCCATTGACATTCATCAACAGCTGCTGAGTGGTTCTGTGCTTGCAGCAGCCTGTTTGCCAGAGGGCTGTTTGCAGCAGCCTGTTTACAGGAGGCGGCCAGTGCCATTTTCCTTCTCCCTGTGGGATATACTTAGTCTCCCCTTGGTGACCTGTAAACACAAAATCCTGGCTAGAAGGATGCAACAGAAATCTTCTCTTCCACATCCTGACACAGCTGAAATCTGAAATCCTTATATTAGCTACTTAGGTACCACAGTGATAGTGACAAATAATCTATCTTTCTCTATCAAATAACGTTTTTGTTCTCTTTATATCTGTTGTAGTTTCCATGGAAATAAATAGGAGGCATTCCTTTCTTTGCAACTTATATAAATATGAAATAGTATCTCCAGAGAGATCAAATGTAATAGGTCACTCGCATATCTGCTCTGTGGTGGTACCATTTAGTATTTCCAGGAATATAATGCGTGTGAGTATGACTTCAGGTTGAACTGATCTGTAACTACTCTTTTCTGTATTATTATTCTTCTCTTACGTGTGTGCCAGTGTGCGAATATGAAGGTGAATTAAGGAATCTTTGTGGTCTTTTCACTTAACTCTGACCCACTTTCTGTTTTGGGATATTATTATATTTCTTATTTTTTATACTTCTCTTTAAAAGTCACTAAGTTGAGCTCTGAATTTGAGTTCCATAACAAAGATTTTTGTAGAAGGAAATGTATAATACAGAAAAGTCCATTTTAATCTGTAGATAAATAATGTGACTACCCAATCTATGTCTGTAAAACAAAACTCAAGAAGTCCAGGAGACTGATACTTGCTATCAGTCTACAAAAAAAACTTGAAAACGAGATTTTATGAAATTAAAAAATAAATACTTTCATTAAACAGTCTGACAACATGTAATATGTCTATAAATGATGCAGTAAACTACAGAAATAGTTTTATCATACTTAAAACTGTACATCTGAACATAAGAGAAGGAACCTGCCCACAAGCAAGAAAAACTCAAAATCTCTGTAGAAGTTAAAAATATTAAGATTCACTTAGTTCATCATCTTTGAAGACAAACAGAAAATGCTGCTGAGCATTGACATGTAGTTACTATGTGAAATATTGGTCAAAGGAGAAAATTAAACTGCCTTCAGTTTGTGTCAGATTACTCATTTTAGATAAGAAGAAAAACAGTGCAATCTTTTCTTATGACAGAAATGATGAAAGTAGTGATGAAACACATACTTTTATTTTTCAACACTGCCTCCCCTCCAAGCAATTTTAAATGTCTTTATCACTGTTTGTGACACCTTATTTAAAAAAAAATGTTCTGTGTAAGGAAGAACTCAGAACTGGTGTTCAGACAGGAAAAATACTTGGCACAAAGCTAGCAGAGATCTGAAATTTTCCTCAGAAATATTTTCCAAAGGAAGACTGCAATCTTTCCAGAAAATGACCATTTCCTCTGAGGAAAATCATGTTGAGGTCTCCATCCCCAGACTCTTCTTATCAACTTTTTCTTTTTGTAGAGAGCGGGGAAATTGTGAAAGCTCTGCAGGCTAGCAAGGACAGTGAACTCATGCAGTGAGGAGAGTGGCTTCTTCTCTCTGTGGCTTATTCTGGGGGCAGCTATGAAAAGTGAGAGAGACAAATTTGGTTGCTCATCCCCATTAAATCTATTTAGAAGTTTACAGTTCAATTTTCTCCATAGTATGAAAGAACAAAATTGAAAAAGGCACTCAAGCATGTGAGGCAATGAAACCTCACTATCATGAAATGCTTTTTCCCATATGTGTCCAAAAATTTGTAAGGATTTCCTTCTCTACGTGTATTTATTCCTATCTTCAGGCCAGCTCTACATAAAGCACAAAAGAGCAGACATTGCCTTTACACAAAAGCCAGTAAAAATTCTCTTATTTTAGTCTTTTGTGTATATCTTGAAAAGGGAACTGAGCATTAATCAATGTAGCAAACATGCGAGCAAACTCCAAAGAAGGAAAAACAGAGTTGCTGAGTGAGCTGCTGTGAACACTCTACAGCTGCAGCCCCATAGAATGAATTCGCAGCTCTGCTGAGATCAGTGGCAAGCACCCTATCAGTCACAGAATGCAAAGGGATAAGTGGTATTACAGCAGTATTTTTTTTCTGGAGATGACAGTAAAGGGCAGTTTCAGATGAGCAATAACCTCATGTCATGAAAAAAAGGAAAATTTTCCTGGTTGCCTGAATTCCTAAGGCATCAGTGAGATCCGAAATGGTGTATAAAATACATAAATTGGGCTAGATCTAAGTAGGCTAAAAATGGTGCTGCTGGGCATGGCAGTATAGCAGCACCATGTCAGGACCTAACATCAGATCCCAAGACCATTTGCCAGTCTCAGGGCTGTGCTCAAGTCCTGGCACATTGCTTGGCAGATGAGCATGGCCCTGTCAAGAATGTGGTGTCACAGTGCAAGAGAGCATCTCTAAGGTTTGGTTACTGTGTGCTCAAGGAGCACTAAGAAAAGCCAAAGGTGTCAATTTGTTCTAACAGGAATGGGAAAAAGGACACATACTCATATTCTTCTCATCTCAAGAAATCAGCACCTATTTAAAATCAATTCATTACAACTGAGAAGCAGACCATGGTTCTGTGCTTGTGGCAGCCTTTGTTTGCCAGAGGGCTGGCATGGAGGCTGCCAGTGCCATTTTCCTTCTCCCTGTGGGGTACATATAGTCTCCCCTTGGTGACCTGTAAATACACAATCCTGTCTAGAAGGATGCAGCAGAAATCTTCTCTGCCACATCCTGACACAGCTGAAATCTGAAATCCTTATATTAGCTACTTAGGTATCACAGTGATAGGCACAATATGGATTAGATTTGAATACTGTAGAGAAGATTTTCCACTAGAAAATCCCCTAGGATGTCTCTCAAAGTAGCATTAAATTCAGGTCCATTGCAACAGTAACCACAAGTTCAAAAAATGTGTCAGCATATCTCGAAGCTTTATGGTAGTTAAGATTTATAAAGCATCTATTCCTATGAGAATGGTACGAATTTTACAGGAAAAAAAATCTGCTTTAATATAACAGCATATATGCATATTTGTTTCTCTATGACTGCTGGATGATTGAAGAAAAGCTTCAAAATCATCAAATAAAAATGTCAGACTTTTCAAGTTTTTTTGACAAATCAAATGTTTTCATTTTTAGTCTCAGTTATTTATATTTTCTGCCATATCACTGATGTTAATTAACCTCATTTACGTAAATTAATTGAAAATATACACATTTGGAGTGAATCCATTAGTATATCCCATAGCAAGCTAGTTAAATAATGTTTTAAGAATCAAGCTGTTTAAAAATGTTATAAAGTTTTAATTTCATTCTACTGTTCACTCACATTACAATGATATGTGACACTAATCTTATTGCAGCTGCTGTGCTGATTTAACTTCAAACATATTCTATTTCAAACTATGAAAAAAAATACATTTCATTAATGAATTTGCTTATTATTATCTTGATTAACACGTTGTTTTAAATCAAGTCATTTCTCTACAAGCTGTCCCAAGATTTCAGTGCTTTTTTTTCATCACAGATATTTTCCACTGCTTTGAAAAAAATTCACTGTATTAGAATGGATGAATATTGGGAATCTATCAATAGCAGGAGTTTAGGACTGTATTCACAGGCTTGCTTTATTAAACAATACATAGTACTTTTCAGAGAGGAGAAAGAAAGAAGAAAAATGTTGAGATTCTTGGATAAAGAACCACGACTGTGTATCAGTCGTAGTTATGATGAGTAACAGCAAAAATTTACAACTTCACTCATGTTACACATATTCAATACTTATAATTCCACTGGGATCAATGGAAGCTAAGTGTTACCTGCCTGAAATAAGGGGATTACATATGTAAGCCCCTGGAGCCAACTGAACCAGGATTACTACTTTACTAATTGCTTGCATGTTTTACACAATGTTCAATCTACTTGATTTTATAATTTTAATTCTATGAAATTTGTTGTCAGTAGTATGTAAATGATTAGTGACATTGAAAATATTTTTACTTTTCCAAATGAGTGCCTTCATATGTCATTAAATGCTTTTTTTTTTTTTTTTTTTTTTTTGCTTTGATTCTACTTCAAACATTTTAAAAAGCTAACAGAACACTTGAGTGGAAATGGTTTTTATCTAAGATTTGCATATTCTATAAACACAATAAAATGTTACTGAATTCAGTAATCCCCTATGGCATCCATGGGTTGCTAATGGATTTTGCCTGCTTTTAATCTTTTTAATGTTTATATTTAATAAACTTTGCAAGCCAGATTGTCTACATTTTAGAATTGGGCAGTTGTTGAAGTTAAGTAGTTATGATAACAAACTCTGGATGATAATCTCACCCCGAGAGATAATAATAAAAAATAATAATCAAGCAGGCAATCAAGTATCCACACAATAATATTGTTCAAAGTAATCATATTCTGCCCTACAATTATTGTACAAATCTTTTTTGTGATTTTAAAGTCGCACCTTGCTCTGCAGCTGAGTTAATTCTTTTGCAAATACACTGTCAATTGTAGCTGGCATCTGCTGATAAAGAGAGTTGGAAAGGTCTTTCTTAGCAGCTCCTTTGTACTTTACCTACAGGGAAAGAAAAAGGTGATGCAACATGAAAAAGTCACTGGATACAGTAATCATACTACATATTTTTCCTATTTAATAAAATGGCACTAAGAACATTAGAACTGGAAAAATCTACTGCAGTCTCATAAATTGTCAAGAAAATACACATTTTTTAAATATTAACTTTAAAATGGTTTAGGTGGATCTGTCTAATTCTCAAAGTAATGCAAAGAACTTGTTAATTAAATTCTAGAACTGAAGAGAGAAGTACAAAATAAAGCAAGCCAGTCATTTTTTCTACATCGTATTAAATCATTTCCAAAAACCCAACTTGTATTTTCTCATTATGTTTTCCAAAATCTTGCACAATGGTAGCAGTGAGACATCAATAGAACAATATTTTACCAATTAATGTGAAGTAGCAATTACATGCAATTGGAAAAGACAGGATCACTGAAGTCTGTCATCTTTTTTACTTCTCATGTTGCAGACTCATTTTTCAACTCCTTTCTATTTACTCTGTGCTTTCTCCAGTGTTCAGAACTTACAATTCCTCATAAAAAGGATAAAAAATGCAGAGGATACTCCAAAAGTAATGCCTCCTATTTATTTTCATAGAAACTACATCAGAAACAAGGAGTGCAATAACACTACTGGATTCTCAGCTACAAAACTCTATTTTTCAATGTAGTCACAACCCTTAGCGATGTGTTTTCACCAGCCATGAAGAAGAGTCTGTACACATCAGTGAATAACAATTAGTGCATTTTTTTTCTGCACGAAGGAATTCAGTTCCACACCTTTGCTTCATACGCACTTCCATGTCAGAAGGCATTTTGTCAGACAACTCTTCTGCTGCCATCTGTCACATGGCAACAACATGGAACATAATGTTGGTGGGAAAGTTCCACCTCTACTGTCATAGCACCAACATCCAGCTCTGACGTCATGGGCCAACGTAATAAAGTAGGAGGCATCACTTTCAGAGCAGTCTTCATAGTTCAAAATCAATGAGACTTTTGCTTCAGATCTAAGTTTTCCAAATTTATGAAAACCATTTCACTTATTGCTGAGAAAGTATCCATATAAATGAAAGACATATTAAACGAGTCTATCAAATGTTATTAGCTTCCTGTGCAATATACAGCTTTTTTTTTTTTATAGTTCCCTTTACATAATATATAGATAAATAATTTGCTAAACATTTGTGGGTGTCCCTCAAAACAGGCGTTGTTTCACTGCTGTTAAGAATTTAAAGAAGTGCTCAAGTTTTGTAAAGACAGGTGATGGGACACTAGAGGTCAGTAATTTACTAGATAAACCATCCATCATATTATTGGGTTTAATGTATCTCACTGCACTAAGACAACAATGGGATAATATGAAACACAACCTGCTTTAAATTTTGAAAAAATATGGATATAAAAAGCTGAGAGCAAACTGTGGTCTATCATTTTGGAAGCTGCCATTTTTTTGCCATTACACATGGATTTGCTCACTTGCAAGTGAATTGATAGGTGACCTGTGGATGGCCTTCACCTGATCCTTGTTCCAATTCCCTTATTGAAGAGTGGGTGTAATAACACAGCAACAGGTCTCTCTCTCTCTTCTTTGACAGGCTGTTTGTGCACAAGTGTAGTTAGCAAAGCTCGTCAATGCAGAATAACTAACAAGAAATCCTTTTGCTATTCCTCAGTTGACCAAAAAATAGCACAGAATGTCTCAGAGTTGTTAATAAAACATATTTTAGAATCCTGGAATTAAAGGGTTATGTAAATACATGTGGGTATACATTATACTCTAATTATAGTGTTTGAAATCACATCAACTTTAAGCGGAATTATTGTTTAAAATAAGCCATCTATCCCCTGCTCATAAATATAATCTTTAATTCACAATGTTTTTACCAAGAATAAGAAGCAAAGAGAATTCTTTTTGTTCTTACCTCAGAAATAAAATCACCAACACTTTTCACATGTTTTAGCTGAGGAGTGTCAGGTACAAATATGCACTTGCCCTTAGATTTTTCAAATTCTTCTTTGTAGTGTACCTATAAAAAGAAAAAAGAGAAGATCAGTTGTTCATAAAAACTGAAAAATATACAATGGCTAGCTGTATTTCATTTACTTATAATAATAAAGTGCTCAATGGCTAGCAAACTTCTTAAGGCCATGCAGGGAAATATCCAGTTCTCATACAGAATCAGGAATGTAAAAGTCATAGAGCTCTTTAATATTAAAGATAATAAATACATTATTTTTCTCTACATATACAGCACAATTTTTCCACTGCCCACAGATGTTCTGCTCATCTAAAGAAAAGAGAGATGAATTGAGACTTTTCTCTTTGACCTCACAGATAAAATTGTTAGACTGGCTTCCAACACAGATCTTGCAAGCCCAGAATCTGGATAGCATAATCAAACACCTCTTTATAAATCCAAGAGTTAAAGGAAAAAATTCACCAGTCCATTGCTAAAACACTGCCTACAAAGCACCCCTATGGTTGTGACATGCAGGTAATATCTGAGTCTCTTAAAAAGCCAAGAAAATTTTATACCATCCCATCTCCTAAGTTGTGTACATATACAACTAAAAGCATTTTGGGTGCAAAACACTACAGTGTATTTTGCAAAAAAGCAAGAGCTTATTTTTTTAAAAAACGACTCCTTTTTTCCTACCAGACAATAGGTACAGCTGCAATATGCAGTTATCTGAAACATCAATCTGTTGATGAAGTCATGTCAGAGATGGTTTTAACTAGTGAGACTGAAGAATGCAACATCTATAGACATAGTGAATGTACAGGGAATCTTTACTATATACAAACTATGAAGAAATACTGTGAATACAGCAAGATTGATTAAACACATTCTATGGGCAGACAATTTCTTTGTGTAGTCCTTACTTTTAAAGGTACTCCCAATAAGTAGCCTTAAATGATTTTACTGAGGTGTCTTTATTTTCATATAGTATAGTTTAATTCCGGGCAAGTTGAATTATTTAGGATTAAGCTTTCCTAGTTACTATCTGCTACCATTTCTCTAACCTCATTTTCACATTCTGCACAACAGCACCATGCTTTTATGCACTCCCAGCTTGCTGACAAGCAGCAGACAAAGCAACATGACCATTACCAAAATATGTGGTATTAATTTCCTTCTTCTGTGCATTCTTAGTGGGTATCACAAGTTCCTACAAAGTGACTTGGAAAATTATTCATGAGGAATAATGGTAGTTTACACAGAATCAGCTCTTGAACTTTTTGATTAAGTTTTTTGTCCTCCATAAAATGAATGCCAAGTTCCCTTCAGACTGTTTGACCACATAATCACCACACAGGAAATAATTTTGGTTACAGTGAGCTCATCCATATTTGGACTACTAATGAATTTACATCTCTTTACTGAATCACATAATCCCCCTTTATGAACTACAGTGTATTCTAAGTAAAAAAATGTTCAGGAAATAAAGGGTGTAAAATTACTGTATATCATCATTTCACTCAGGGCCACATTGATCCAATAGTTCATGTAACCTCTGTACGTGTCACTGTGCTTCTAGGTAATTAACCACAGAGTGATGCACAAAAACTGCAGTGTCATGATATAGATGAGCAGGTGCCTATACAGCCAATCTGTGTGCATGCATGCACACGCTTTTAAGGCTGTGCATGACGTGAGGTGTGAAGGTTCACATGAATGGCTTAAAAAGCACCCTTGAAGAACTACAGCTATTCACAGCAATATGGTTGAGGAAGACTATAGGATTATCTATAGAGCTGTCTACTGGTTAGGTTTGATGGAATTCCCAGTAGGATGCCTGTAAAATTGGGGCTCTGGCAGAGGACATGGAGAGCCGTGCTGCTCACAACTTAGATAAATCACACACAGATAACTGAGAGCTAAGTGTAATTGCATCCATTTTAATTAGAGTAATAATTACATTCAAAAATCAAGCATAAAAGCCTCCTAAGGTATCTTTTAATTGGGGGGAAGGGGACTAGAAGATATAATCAAAGCCATTCTGCCATAGAAATCCTTACAAAATAATCAGAAGAAATAAAGGAATAATGTCACTCCGTTATTACTTATATTTATTATGGTAATCCACACAGGTTCAAATGAGTTATTTAAAAGGACATACAACAAAATCTGTGTGTCCAGTTTTAATTCAGCACACTTCATTCTGTTACAGAAGTGTTTACATCACTTAGAATTAGGCAAAGGAAGACAAAATGAGACAAGTATAACACAGTCATGATGTGTACTTAAAATGTATATTTATTTTAAGTGAACTAAGTGGGACACTGAAGCAGTTGGCTATGACAGAACATAATCAATTGCTGGAAGAAATATGCAGAGAATTCATTATTTTCTGAAAAGTTTACCAGATTATCTATAGATAATCAAACAGCTAAAATATTGAATAGGAAATTTTGCCTTTAAGTGACTTACCAAACACTCTGTCTAGGTTGAGTAGGTCTGGTAAACTTTAGAAAAAGAACAGATAATAGGAAAAAATTGCAAATGATGGCCTACAGCCACCACTGCCCTTTTGATATACTTTCGAAGGCCAATATCTCACCAGAGCCTCTAAAGTTTTTAAAAGCTCTCTCCCGAGTCCTTTCTCCTCCCCAACGCATCATAAAACTACTCTGACCAGAAGCACAGCTATCCAGTAACACTGGATTAAAATTCCTAGATAATCACCAAAAGGATAAGCTTCAAACTGACTTGTTTATTTTGCTCAGTGAATGCTATTTGGCTAAAATCAAACTTTATCAAAGATCATCCAATCTTCCTGGCTCACCAGGAGAATTCATCTTGTCCATAGCTTGCTCCAAGAAGAAAAATTCAAGTGGTATCAGCCTAATCTAAGATTAACCCAAGCAGTTAACTTTCTTTTGCATTCAGGGGTACACATTTGTCTCATTCAAATATGAAAAACTGTTCTTCATACTTTGACCCACTTATGATATGAATGGCAATGTTGACCAATGTGCCATGATCCACGGTAGAACTGTCATCTCTCAAGGATCTCATTAGGCTTGGAAGAGTTACAAAAAGGCCTGAACTTTCTCATATAGCTCTTAGTCTGGATTGAAAGAGAACTTTTTTTCCACTGTCATTTCCCTATCCAATTCTTCATTTCTTAGTTTATAATCTTTCATAGCAGTGTAAGAACTGTGTCAGATCACAGATCTATCTAAATCCACTTTCTGTGGCCACAGAAAACTAGCAAAATGGTGAGGACAAGCATACAATATTATTGCCCCATAGCATTCTACTAGTCAAAAGAAATTTGGACCTCAAAGTACTCCTGAGCTATAGGCTCTGACTAGTAATGGTGAGCCCAGAAAAATAACTCTGGCTGAATTAGGTTGTCCCAAGCCTACTGATACCTGAGGAAGAGCACTACTACTACACTTGGCTCTATGTCTCTTTAGCTCTTCCTTTATGTATCCTGAGGCAAAGCTGGCTCCCATACAAGGATACATAGATAGTGATACTATTTTTGCTCTAGGTTACAAAAGGCACTGATACTACACAGGACTAAAATACAGCAGAATCTTCAGAAGACACAGTATCTGCTTCTACCAAAAAGCATTCACAGTATTACACTGCATATTCAGACCAAAGAAGAGATGACAGGATACTAAAATATAAATAATACAAGCAAATGGATAGGCTCAGTTCTAATACAGAAGAGAGAAGGCCTGGAATGGAAGGTAATTCATTTAGATCAAATATACATGACAGTTTTGAAAGCATCAATGAAATAAAATTGTATAATAGAGGAAGATTAAATGAAATGGCTTTAGGGAGAAACAATTCAGGGGTACCAGAGTCACAGAACAAATATCTGCCAACCTCAAATGAAGATGGGGATTTCCTGAAGAACAGGAGCACACAAACACTTCCCAGCTTCCCCCTGCTTACAGTTCAAGCCTGACAGTTGCACATACACTCAGGAATGCCATCACGACCATTTTTTAAAATCATATTGCCAAACTAAAGTCAGCCTGAAAAGAATGCAGGGTGAGTGTAATGCAATCACAGTATCTCAAGTCACAAGTGCTCCTGTTAGTGTGCTCTCATGGAGGAGCTGTGCTGGCAGGCTACCAGACTGTCAAGGACAACCGCCCTGTCCCGTGGTCCAGAAGGACAAGAGCTGCTGTCACAAAGTCATTGTGGGGCAAAATTGCAACCCCCCCCAAAAAAAAAAAAACACTGTGCAGCTAAAATGAACAGATATTCACCAACAATACATTCACACAAACAGCAGTATGATCAAAGATTCATGCCAAAAAAAAAAAAAAAAAAAATGAAGAATATATTAAAAGTTTCGAACATTATTGTATCAAAATGTAAATTCCTTGCAACTGATTGGGCTCCTCTGTGAAGTATGCAAGGTAAAGAACCTACTACAGAACATTACTGGTCACAAGAAATTCCAGTTCATTCCCTAAGCATACACACATTCCATCCAAGCCAATTAGAACATGCCTACTGACTTCAGCGTAGGCTGAATAAAGCCCCCAAAACGAGTGTCATTTTTTAAACAAAGAACATCATCTTTGAAATTAAATTTGTTCTGGACCATTACTTATTACTACAGTCTTGAAAGCATTAATGACACGTTGCCATTATGTTTCACATCTCTCAATGAAAATCGAAAGCATTTGCAGGCTAAATGCAAGACAAGCTTTCAGCAAAAGACCACATCTCTACACTGTTACAGGTTACAGGAACCTGGCTTAACTTAATTACTCACTTTAGCTCCCAACACCCTGAAGAAATTTAGAGAAAATACAATTAACTGCTAAATGTAGTGTGTAAAAATCACCACCAACATTACCACTAATGGGTACACAGCACAGTAGTGATTTCTTTCAATGAAAACAAATATTTCTTCAACATTTTTCAGGGAGTTTTTGCCTTGAAGAACAGCAACCATGTTTAGAAAAACAAACTGCACAGAAGCAAGACATATTTTGGGACTGGTATTTCATCTCCATTTTTATTTGGCCTTCCCATGTTTTATTATGTCAGATGCTGTTCATTTTCACAGAAAATTTGTAGACAGACATCAGTAAAAATAGTAATAATCTTTACCACTTCCTAAAACAGCTTGAGATTACAAAGAAGCCATCATGGTGGCTTCTTTTAAGGATCTTTCTAATTTTCAGCAATCTTCTTGTGAAAAATTAAAGTACTACTAGATGGTCCATGTACAGAGAAAGCTTTTTATTTGTCAAGTCACACTTTTGAGCCAGCACTGTAAAACCTACATCCCCAAGGTACTGTTTTTCCTATTTTTTCTGATACATACCTTCTCATCATTTAAAACATAGATTCTGTACGCCCTATTCTCAAAACATCATTAACCTTGAACAATAACATCCTGAACCTTGTATTAATGCAACATGTGCTCTGGTAATGTTATAACACATCATGAAACAGTCCCCGATTTCAGTTTCATTAGGAGAACAGTTGTGAAAGAAAGTCTCTCTCCACTGACATTTTCTCAACTGCCACCATCCTCAACATGCTGTATAGAACAATAATTCCAATTGCAGTTCATATGAAGGGGAAAGCTACTTTTCAGACTCACTTTACCCTATCATTTCATTGGGTTTTTCTCATAACTGCAAGTCAATAGTAATATGCTACACAGATTTGAGCTTCTATCACCAAAGACTAATAGACAATAACCAAAGTTCATCTGTTTGATTTTTATCTTCTCTCTTTACAACTATGTAAGTACAGCACCCAATTCTATTTTAACCAACCAAACTTCATAGGATTGAGCAGCAATCGGCAAAAATACTGCATTTTACTGGTGAGATCAGCCAAAGTGTTCTCAGGGGAGCCATCCTCTGCATGAGACCCAACTTTTGAAACTTCTTCCTAGGCCTATGCTTCATATAGCTTAAGTGCTCCAAAAACTCATCCTTCCACAATTAATAATAATTCAAGGTATCAGAGCATGCTGTGCTTTTCTATTTTTTGTGCTTTTTTTTTGCGTCTTGGATGGGCACATGCTGCATGGCACATTTCTGAGTAAATATGGACTGTAAATGTATATATGTGGTAAAAATAAAACCACTGAAAAGAGAAATGCAAATATAAGGATGCAAACTATCACTGTCACTTACATCACTTATTATTTCATTGCATTTTCGGGCCAGCTCCATGTTTCTGTCCTCAATAACAGGCTTGAGGAAGACCTATAAAAGAAAGGTAATCATTCCAGTTTTCTTGTCCTAAAAGAGTAACAAGTAAAGAAAAAAATATATATTTCTAAAAGCTATTGGGTTTAACTCACCCTTTCTTCTTCTCCATTCTCATTTTCATCCTCTGTGAATTCCTGAGTGACAGATACTCGCATTTTAATACTTTGAGAAAACAACAATGAAAACTCTAAAAAGGATCAGAATTGCAGGAAACAGCTCAGACTCTACAGCATGCCTGGAATCAATGCTTCATTTGTGTCCTCCACTGCACTTAACTTTACCAAGGCTCCTTCCTTATTTAGGCAGCACTTGACAGTCTTTATCTGAACAATTCAGTGTGAGTGAACTGAAAGGCATTGCAGATGGCCTTGCTAGCTATCAGTTGCAGCAGAGCTAATGCTTTCTTACAGATAAAATATAATTAAATGACCTATCCCTGTCAACTATTTATAAAATGACTATGAACACACGTAATTAAAATACCGCAATTCTATTAATTCATAACATAAGCAATTTAGCAAAATTAACAGGCTTAAAAGGGAAACACTGATTCTCTGGGAAAACTGTGCAGTTCTAATATTCAAGGCATGCAGACTCCAAAGCTAGTCATCACAAAATTTTATTTTGTTGGTCCAATGAAAAAAATACACTATTCTCATTTTCCAGTAGATGTGGCAGCTAGTATATTTACCAGGAAATAGTCTTCTTCCATCAAGCATAAACAATTTCTTAAACTTTTTTCATATTACTAATTAATATGTGGAGAAAACATGAAAACTCTGAAAAGGTTCAGAGTTTCAGGAAATGGTTCAGAGTCTACAGCATGCCTGAAATCAGTGAAGTTAGCTGAAGTTTAAATCTGTGCACAAACAGATACAAACACATCCGCATACTTACAAACATACATGGCTATGTATTCACACAACCGTGCAAGTTCATTCACCATTAAAATTTTCATGATCTCAAAACCAACCTTTCCCAATATGAAGTCCAGCTAACACGAAACTGAAATACATTCTTATTCCAATGGACATGGTGTCACAGTGTTGGCATCTGTAAAACACGTAAGTACATATTACAGGACCAGTCAGAGTAATCACAATTTTATTATTTTCTTTCTAAACTGTAGCATGTATACTTCTCATTTTATACAGGTCATGATTTTGAACTTCATCTAGCAGAGGGATTCACCACTACAGGGTTTTGCAATTAGGCAAAGATATAAGCAGTGTGTGCTCTTGGAAAACCTCTTCAAAGAATACTGAGTACTTGAGCCCGAACACAATGGCCCCTAGGATCTTATTTAAAAACACACATTCCTGGGGGGTGAGGCAGAATATGTTAAGAAAAAAGGCACAAACTGCTTTCATGCTTTCAGTCTTTTATAATCAAGATGTAATATTCATTATGGATTAATATTACAGAAAGCTTCAAGATTTTTCATCCTGTTATTTCAAATATAAGCTCATAAAATCCACATTTCAATTGGCATTGCTGATGCTCAGGTTGAAACCTGAAGGCCTGGTTTGTGTAGGTGAGGATCACCCATAATTTAATATGACAGCTTTTGGAGCCCAGGACATTTCACTGTTGTGGAGAAGAGCAGTATAGTCTTACAAGTCGGATATGCACAATAACAGGCCATTTCTGAAAACTATCACAGCAGAAGATATATTCCTAAGCAACAAACATGTGCATGACTTCAAGCACCACATGTTAAGACCTACAAAAACTCAGCAATGTAGCACCAAAGCTTCTGTGATACTGTTTTAAATACAGTATTCCTCCACCATCATTTCTCTTTCATTCCTACATTTAAGAAATTACATATGTGAAGACTGAAAAAATAGTTAAGAGAGTAGAGAAGATCTATCAGTAGCTGCAAAAGTTGCTGAGTATGGGAAAATCTTTTTCTATTTTCTGTCATGGAAAGTAAACACAGTCAAAAAGACCAAGTCAAAACTGTTTGAATTTTGGGTTGATGGGAGCCTGTTCAGATTTTTAGCATTCTTACACTGTATTTGGTGTTTTTTCAGTAACTGAACATAGCATAATTTCTTATATAGTAATTGTGGTTTTCCTGTAATGGATTCTTCATAATAAAGATCTACTTTCTCATTAACATGAGCCTTAATTGACTTCACAGAATATCATTTTTTCCCATTTTTTGCATGACCTATGTCAGGTATAACCGGGCATTCAAACACACTGTGTTCCACATAACTTCCACAATACAGGGATTTCAAAGCAACTGCTGCAAATCATCATAATACAGAAAAATACAATATTATGCAAGAAAAAGAGTAAGGAAAAAATACTACAGTATACATACTAATTATACATACAAGTTATTCAGTATGGCACTCCACATATAATAGATGTAGTTAGAGACCATACGATACAGAATCTTGCCTAACTTCTTTTTTTCTCCCCCAAACATGGAACGCTATCTGATAACATTCAAGTGCCACACAGCAACCCTGAAACTCAAATATATCCAGATAAAATGTAGAGGGAAGTTTCAAAGAATCCCTGGATACTCTGGGTTGGAAGAGACCCTGAAGACCATCCAGTTCCAAACCCACTGGATCAGGCTGCCCAGGACCCCATCCAACCATGTACTGAACTCTTCCAGGGATAGAGAGCATTTGTTGTGATCATTTAAGAGCTGCACAGTTCAAAAGTGCATTATCATTCCATTAACAGCCTGCAGGTCAAGAACAAGTAGAATTTATTTCCAGAAGAGGCAATAAATAAACTGGAATAAACAGGCACATTTGGCATAGCAAATATTTGTGTATGTTGACAGGTATTTTAAAAACTACTCTAAAAATACATCCAATCTGAATAAAGATCTAGTTAAATGATGACCTTTAATCTTCAAAATGATTATGAAGCACTGTTTTATTAAAGATTAATTGCAAAATATGCATTTTTTTCCAAAACCTCCAAACTTTCAATTCTGAACCATTTTCCATGGTATATAATGAGTATGTAATCATTCACTTTGACATGAAAAAAACCAGATTGTTTAAAATCCAGTTGCTGAGAATTTTAAGGATTTATGGACTGCTGAGCTGTGTATACACAATATTTGTAAGCATGCAGGGTGTGACAAAATGAGATTTTATAATTGAATTATAGATATTTTAAGAATATCTGCAGAACCTTTGCATACACACCACAGATTATTCAGAGGATTACCCAATATAAATTCATTCAAATTTTAAAATAAATCCATGCCATCCTGCATTGAGGTCTCACATTTTGTCTCACAGACAAAACAGTGAAGTTTGTTCACACAGCTTAGGAACAAGGCATGAGGGAGCTTAAGTCCTCATTAGTATGAGTTGCTCCAGCACACACAGGAAGGCAGTCACACAGTTGGGCAGCCATCCTGTTTAGATAACACACAGCTGTGACCATACCTGTCCAGAGCAATGCCATCTCCTTGCTCCTTCATCAGTATCTTTAGAAATGCATTCGGGTGATTTTAGCCAGAAAGTTCAAAGACCTCCACTCATTCTGGTCCAGATGCACACAGCAATTCAGCAGCCATGCTCAGTTCTATCACTGAACAAAGACAACTACTGGACTTGGCATAATCCCAAAAACCCTTATGAGATCTGCACCATCCACACATTGCTGAATTTTTATCATTTCACTGGACAGCAGAAACTGCTTGTCCCAGAAAAGGTACCTGAACACAAAAACCTCAAAACATATTTAGCAGAGTTTGTCATGAAGTGTTTGAACACAGATTTTAAGGCAAAGATAGAGGTAATTTGGCTGGAAAATCTGCACAGCATTACAGATGTATGTGTTATGAATGCACTTCTTTGTGGTTCTGGACTGAAAACATGATAGGAACAGAGGCAGAGTTTTAATGCTCTAACTATCCTGCTTTCAGTGAGTTAAAAATCAACCCACAGACTTCCCTGAGAAAAGAGCATAATTTTCTGTTCTCTCTGGACAGATGCACACATCACAGAAATAAGTACAATTAATTCAACAGAACGCAGCTGGTGGTCTTTTTTCAAAAGGCACACAAGGAATTTGTAAGCACTGAGATTCAATTACTGCTCATTTCTAGAAATACTCATCTATCAGGCTGGGAGTTAGAAGCAGCACTGCCCAAGGAAGTTCATAGTTAGGCTATCAGCACTGCAATCACAAACAGAAAGAAAGCACGGGCTCCCAGCCTGCCAAATTTAGCCTCTCCTGAATATGAAATATCAATTAACATCAGCAAAAGCGATGGTTCTATTTAAAGAAAAAGCCAAACCACAAGCTTGTATCTGTCAGATCATTAACACTGCATTTGTCCGCAGCAGCTCAAAATCTGCGAATATCTCATCATCTAAGCAAAGATTTTCATTCAATAGAAGTTCTTATTCAAACTTTTGGTATATAAAGGAATTGTAATGGTATTTTTAAAGATAAATAAAAATAAGATATTAGAACACTGATTTGTGAAACCCAGAAAACCTTTTCAGTGCCTTACATGTCGTAATAGATTATTTTATTTTACAAACATGCTCACAGAAATGGTGTTTAAGCACAACTGCATTTTAATGTCAGATCATTTAGAAATTCTTACAGTACAAATAGTTTTCACATAATAATATCTAATCAAATCTGGTTAAACAGAAGCAGTGTAGCTATGCTATCATGATACTGCCTGAGTTAATAAACCCTTTTCCACACAGCTAATTATCCTGAGAAATGAATCATGCAGACCCAATCAGAAGTGGGAGTATTCACCATGATGCATTGTGCCATGCAAATGTAAACTTAGCTGTGATGAGTAACAATATACTGAAATAAACCAGTTTAAAACTTTTTCAAACAACGAGTTCTAAAAAACACAAAGCCATAGCGTCATTTTTCTGACAATATTAATGTAAGTGCCTACCACTTTTGCATAATAGCCTTTAAGCTTCAAAAATGGTATTTCCTAAATGGGATACATAGCTTCCATTGTTCTTTTCTATGTTATCATTTGTCAAAAAGAACATTAAATCCTTCACAATTTCGCATTTCCACTCTAAATTTAATTTTCACATTAATCAGAAGCTTGGAAAATCCTTCACAAGTTGATGCAGCAGGAGACAAAATGACTACATTGCCATCATTTCATCTACTCTACCTGACCCAGTGGCAGATTTCCCCTTCTCTTGCCTACCATCATAAAATCCCTTTCACCGTATTCAAGTATCCAAACAGGTACAGTCATCCACCAAAGTCAATGGCAGAGCAGCAGACTC